GGCGCTTGTCTGCCTCGGTTTTCAGTCTGACTAACTCGAAAGTATTGACACCTTCTCGTGTGGTGCTCCTCCAAGCGTTACGGTGTGGAGTAATCGTCTCCCAGGTGAGGGGGTCGATTTGGCACTTTTTCAGGTTTGTCTTAAGACTATCCTTATACCTTTTCAGTTGCCCGCCGGCGTTACGTTTACTATTCGTTCGGTGACTGTAAAGTATCTGCTTTGGCAGTCTACTGTCGTCCGTGCGAGTAACATGGGCAGTCCAACGTAGTTGTTCATGGATAATGGTAGCCTCGATGCTCCTACAGTTGGTGTCAGCAAGAATACTGGCATTTGTTCTCTTGTCTTCCCAGCGAACTCGGAGGATGGAACGTAGACTACGTTGGTGAAAGTTTTCAAGTACCTTGAGGTGCCTCCTGTATGTGACCCATATCTCGCTGCCATATAGCAGGGTGGGGAGGACCACTGCTCGATATACGTGCTGTTTTGTAGATAATTTCAGCTTCCTACAGCTGAAGACACGATTTCGGAGTCTGCCAAAGGCTTGAGATGCAAATCTGATCCGATGCTAAATCTTTTCATCGGTGTCTGCATTGGTGGACAGGTGGGAGCCGAGATACCGAAAGTGGGTAACATTAGAGAGGGTAGTACCGTTAAGCTGGATGGATGGTGGAGGTGTGGCTGAACCAGGGGCTGGCTGAAAGAGAATCTGAGTCTTACGTACATTCACCTCAAGGCCGAAGTGTGCATACGCGTCTGCGTAGGTGTTCAGGATCTCTTGTAGGTCGTGTTCAGTGTGAATAACAAGAGTGAGGTCGTCTGCATAATGAAGTTCAATAATGGAAGCTGCTGACACCTTTGTTCTTGCCTGGAGTCGTTTTATGTTGAAAAGACCCCCTTCACCCGGTAATTAGCACTGGCACGAGTAAGGAAGGCAACCAAGAAGATGGAAAAGAGAGTTGGTACCAGTAAACACCCTTGTTTAACCCCTGTTTGGATGGGGAAGAACTCTGACTGGGTGCCGTTGTGCAGGACACTGTCGTTCATGCCATCGTGGAGTTGCCTCACAATGGCAATGAATTTTGGTGGGCAGCCAAAACGACTGAGGGTCCACCAGAGGGCTTCCCTGTTGACCGAGTCGAGCTTTGGTTAGGTCGATGAAAGCCATGTACAGGTCACGACGCTGTTCTCTGCATTTTTCCTGTATATGGCGGGCAGCAAAGATCATGTCAGTGGTGCCACGTGATGGTCTAAAACCACATTGAGATTCAGGGAGGAAATTTTCCGCCTCAAGAAGAAGTCTGTTTAGAAGGACTCGGGCGATAATCTTGCCAGATACGGAGAGCAGCGAGATCCCACGGTAGGTGCCACAGTCTGACCGGTCGCCCTTGTTCTTATAAATATTGAAAATGGAGGTGTCTTTAAGAGCTCGGTGGATTTCTTCCTTTTCCCAAATATTCTCCAGCAGAGAGTGGAGACAGCTGGTAAGCAGAGGTCCTCCTGCTTTATACACCTCGGCTGGAATTCCATCAGGCCCTGAGGCTTTGTTATTTTTTATCTGTTTGATGGCAGTAGCTACCTCATCCAGGGATGGAGGATAGCTGAGGTGGGTCAGCTCTGGATGCTGAGGGACCTGCTGGGTAGTCAAGACATCCACATCGGTGGTAAAAGCAGCACATTTATCATCAATGAGTACTATGGTTGCCGGGTCATTTTCATCAAACCAGTCCTGGTGTATTCTTTTGATCTGGCCGAGGGTCTCTGCAGGTCTTTGTCATAACAGTGTTGAGAGTATTCCATTCAGCACTGGCATTCGCGTTGTTTTTTGTCGGGTTGTTTATAAGCCCATGTGCGAGCTGCTCTCTGGAAGCAGGTGCTACTACTGGATCCTCCAGACGCTTAGTGTTAAAACCTCTTCTGGAGGCTTGCTACCTTCGCCGTTTTGGGGCCACACACACACACACACACACACACACATCATAGGAAAAAAATATATACAGTATATATATATATATACTTCTTTTCAATATGCAAGACTTTAATAATTCTTCGCATGACTCAGCAAAGAGTATCAAGACCCTCATCAGAACTACTCAAGTGTAAAGATTCTTCATCACCTGAGTGTAAGTCTCTCTCTCTCTCTCTCTCTCTCTCTCTCTCTCTCTCTCTCTCGACGTAGTTTTGGCCCACATCATCCATGTGATAGCCTAGCGTGTGTGTCAGTTATATCCAGCATCATATATTTTGCACCTACATGCACTTTAGTCAGGCAAGTCGAGGTTCTTCACTAGACACGAGTTGAGGAGGAACCCCCCATAGTTGTCTTGCTTGTAAACACAGAACAAAACAAAACAAAACCCGCTTGGTGTATGTTTGTGAGTCCTTGTGTTTTTGTTTGGTTTGGTCTGTGTGTGTGTGTGTGTGTGTGTGTGTGTGTGTGTGTGTGTGTGTGTGTCATATTACATCCATCATCAGACTAATAAACATTCTCCCTCATTTTTTAAAACCCATACGATATTTCATCTCAAACATCGACAAAAAAAAACTCATAGCATTAATTCACTTTTTTTTAGGGCAGTTGTTCCAGCCAGCTCACTCTAAACACTACAGGTAAAAAGGAAAAAGAGTTATAATTAGCTATCAGGTGTTCCAGGTAACCATCAGGTACACGTAATAACCCTTCAAGAGAATTATGGGATGGGAGTGAGTCAGCATTTCGATATTTATGCGGTCAAAAGCCTGTTAAGTTTTGCCAGTACCTCTTGACTACCGGAGCTGACTACTGATGAGTGGGGTGAGGAGGAGCTTACAACGTATACCATGTGACTATACGTTATATCATGTGAAATAAGTTATATCAAGTGCATATAACTTATGCCAGGTGCCAATAGTAATTTATGAAGAAAAAATCCCTTCCCTTCCTAACTATTGAGAAAATATTGTGGGTTTTCCCTAGTTCTCCCATATTTTCCCTAGTTCTCCCATATTTTCCCTAGTTTTTCCCCTGATAAAGGACTCTGCAATGTGCCATCATGCATTACTACACTCCAACAACTAAGGTTTCATACATACACACAGACATACATACATAGATACATTCATACATACATAGATACATTCATACATACATACATACATACATATATACATACATACAGACATACATACATACATACATACATACATACATAACGACATACATACATAGATATATTCATACATACATATATACATACATACATACATACAGACATACATACATAGATACATTCATACATACATACATACATCAACCTTACCCTCAGACCTTGCGACTACACATATAAAAATAACAATAAACACGAAATAAACGAATAATGATAAAGAAGAATAAATAAGAGACTAAAGGAGATAAGCTTAGACTAAAAGTAAACTTAGATAAAAGGTTAATGGGGAGAGATAATTATAGAGAGAATAATGAGGTAATTATAGACATACTTACCTGATATAATCTTGAAGAGTCTCACCGCCACTAAATCACCTGAGTCTTTTGTTGATATGCAAAGTGATTGTAACTACTCAGCGTTTAATCTGGCTTGCTTAATCGAACATGGCCAGATGTGACTTAATTTAACCTAACCTAACCTAACCAAGTCTGATATAACATGACCTAATTTAACCTAACCTGATATGACATGACCTAACTTAACCTAATCTAACATGACCAGACCTAATTTAACCTAACCTAACCTAACCAAGTCTGATATAACATGACCTAATTTAACCTAACCTGATATGACATGACCTAACTTAACCTAATCTAACATGACCAGACCTAATTTAACCTAACCTAATGTAATGTTAATACAGCCAATACCCATCTCTAGGAGTTACTGAAGCACCAACTGAAGCACCAAATATTAGTCACTGAAGCACCCACGAATTACTGAAGCACTCTAGCAGGTGTTAACTTACATCAGCCATCCCTCTTGCACCGCCCTAATATGCTGCGTCACCGTCAGCTGTTGTCCTCCTGTGCTCTATTTTGCTGACATCTCCTCCTGTAGGTTCATTATAATCCTCACATGGCCTCAATATCTCTACGTCAGCTGCTCTGTGTGTGTCTGTGTGTGTGTGTGTGTGTGTGAATTATAACAAACATGAACTAAACACAACTTACACTAATCACACCGTAGAGCGAACCATTAACTCTAAAAGATCTTAAATTATAACTAAACTATGTGAATTTATTTCTTACGAGAGTTCATTGCCTTTTAGTATTCAGGCAAGGTCAGTTCGGCGTATGTGAACAAGAGTAACAGTAGGAGGTGTTGTGGTTATTGTCTTAGCGCCGTTGCTGGATAGAATCTAAAGCAGTTCTTCCTGGAATAACAAACCTTAAACCTATAAGAGTGATCATCATCTTCTCTAAGGGTAACTACGCCAGACGAACGTTCTCCTGGCGTCTACTAAATGCCAGTGAATGTCTCCAGGTTACTACATGACTTGGGATAATTTAGTGAATCAGAATTGACTTAAAACTGACGTATGAATAACTTAGAGTAAGGGAGGATGAATTAAAGTTGCTCAGTATGACTTAAATTGACTCAGGATTGACTTAAAAGTAACTCAGGTGATTTAAAACGAGTCTTCATCATCAGTCACCCACACATCAGATAAAGAAACGTCATGGTACATTTATCAGATTAATGTGTGTGTGTGTGTGTGTGTGTGTGTGTGTGTGTGTGTGTGTGTGTGTGTGTGTGGTCCTCCTGCCTCTCTCACAAGCCCACACGATGCTCTTTTTTTTTAAGGTACAAGATATATTGTTGATATTTGGTGACTCGTAACGTTAATGATGGCTTTGTGCTGTGTTTAATGTAGATGTATAAATTTACCTCTCTCTCTCTCTCTCTCATTAAAATAATGTCTCAGAACCCCATAGCCCCCCTCTCTCTCAGCAGTAGTTCTAGGCGTCCATACTGTGTCTCAGAGCCTCACAATCTCCTTCACTCTCTTCACAGGTGTGGTGGTGGACGTCGGGTGTTCCTACGGGTGTACACAGTGTTCCCCCGTCAACGGGTGTCTGGCGTGCAAGCCGCCCTTCTTCCTACTGCTACACCGGGAGGGCACGAGACAGACGGCCACCTGTACCCCGGCCTGCCCCAGGGGCTTCTACAAACTTAAAAAGAAGAGGAATGGTTTCTGTGCCAGTGAGTCTCATGTGGTAATCTACAACACCTGTAATTTGGGTTCAGAAGGTGATGCGTAACTGGACAGGTAGATGTAGAGAGAAGCAGTTTAGCAATAAAGGGGAAGAAATGGACAGAACTGAAGAGAGTAAAGGAAGTATCTGGTTCTGGTATAGTGAGATTTACATATAATAAAATTAAAGTCACATAGATAGAGAGAGATCAATAAACAGGCAAGTGCGTGATATAGTAAAGCCACATCAACACGCTCACTACCACAAGCAGGTGTAAGAGAGCACATTGTTCCACCCAGGCGGTAGACAACATCTCCTGGAGGTCCACCAACATAACTCCACTTAACAAGATCACAGCTGTCATGGGCCTAGACCGACACCATCAGATGTGGGCAAAATACTACACCATTGTCTTATCTCTTGCGTCACGACATATATCCCTGCCCTGCGTCTTTTAGGGACAGATGTAGGAGGGAATCTTAATCCAACTCTACCCTAGTTACACCACACCATGATCTTTCACTTTTTTTACGCCTGACCAACAATTTCATATTATTACTGAACTGATTTATGGCGTCTTGGACTTTGCTGTGGCGTAGAAGGGAAGAGTCATTAGTTTACGTCATTACTGTATAGAATTATGGGCCGGCCCTTAGACGTTATTGTGGCGTGGTGGGGAACTTGGCTGCACCTTTACTGCCAGCTTGAGCCTCGTAAACAGTCTGGCCACTGCTAGTAAATCTATGTTACGGAGACTTGACCCGGAGGTGTGTATGTGTGTGCGTGTTTTTATGAAGTCAGAATGACCAAGCATATCGTGCGGGGAGTTCAACACTTCTCGCGGGAATGACATCACTCCCCCCTCCCCCTTCCCAAATAGACGTAAAAGTTATCGTCTGATACATTACCACAAGAGAAAACGACTTGATTTTATAACCATACAAGGAAACCATCTTAAAAAAAATCGCATACTATACAATTTGGTGGGGGGTTTTTTCCCGCCATTTTAGCTATGAGAGGAACATGGAAATGAAAGTCCCTTGATACGTGTTAACTCGACGGGTTTTTTCCTCTCCTTAATGACAAACATACGAATACCGATTCTTCCAATTCTTCAGGTGTTTGTTGACGTTCGTTCATAATCACTGTAGGTAAATGAAGTAAACATGAATTAAGGAAGCGAATTCCACATACAGTCTGCTGAAAGATAATTGAAGTCTGATTTATGTTTTATTTTTGTTCCTGTGAGGTTGGTCTGTGTACTAACTGGCTGAGATTGCTCGTGAGGTGTAATTTACTGAATATATTGTTGAGACGAGGGAGGGAGTGTTGTTATCAGGTAATTAACGTGGAAATTGGTCTCCTTATCTTCCTGTGTGTGTGTGTGTGAGAGAGAGTGAGTGTGTGTGTGTGTGTGTAACCTATTTGCCACCATAAGGGTAATTGAAGACCTCACATCTTTTATTTATTTTAACATTAACAACAATAATAATCGGAACGACCTAACCTAACCCCACCTAACCTAACCTAACCAAACCTAGAGTGAAGATCCATAACAAAAACTAAATCCATCAGTGTTTAAAACTCAAGAGAAATTATATTAAGGTTAATTTCACTAAGTGTTATATTATTATTGTTGTATCACGTATTATAATTCTTTAAGGTGATTAAGAAACAATGTATTGATGATGTGTAATATCATTCCTATGTTATGACTCGTAATATTCATACAAGCCTCATATAAATCTACATTATATTGTGATAGGAATGTATATAGTTTATTTATACCAACTAAATCGTAATCTTTATAATACAAATGTTTATCTATGGGTCAATTTAGTGGACGGATAATAAAGAGGTGGTGTTTAATTCAATAGCTTAGTATTTTAACGGTTGTAATGTTTATTATTTCACCATTGTAATGAAGGAATTATGTTAACAGAATGCACTATGCGAGGCTGCGTCGAGTGTCTGGGTCAGCACTACTGCTCGGCGTGTCACCCCGACTTCGTCAACTTCTTCGGCAAGTGTATCAAACAGCCTCCAGGTGAGTGAGTGAGTGACTTATATTGTTCGCTCTCTTTCTCTCGTTATATCTTACTCTCTTTCTCTCTCTCTCATTATCATCTAAGTGTTAAGCTCCAAAACAAAAGTTAGTATAAATGACGAATAATTCAATCTATCTGCTAAAATATTCAATAAATACAAAATTAAAACATCCCAAACTTTTTTTTAAGTATTTAGTAGAAATTAGATTGTTCAATAAAAAGAAAATGGATAAAAGAAATAGAATTATAATGAAGAGTCACGTTAGAGACCTGAAAATGCTGTGAGAATCTTGGTGTTTGAATATGCATGAACGCTGCATAATGAAGCACTTAATGTTTACTCCTTGGATCGTTTATAAAACCTACTTGAATCCTTATATCGCTCTAGGTCTCCAAATAAAACACCTTGGCGATAATTACTGGTTAAAAGGTTTCCTCCCTAAGTGATGTAAATTGGTGGTGGTGGCGGTTGTGTGTGACGACCATTCAAGATTTATAGACGAGCGAGTGATTGGTTAAGACAAGTCGTATATATTCATGTATACAGTGTGTTGGGGGATTCAGCTCCTATTTGAAACTGTTTTAAACATTTTGATATCGCTGGAAACAATTGCCTGGGTATGGAGGTGAATTTTTTTGGGTCCTTTACACAGCCAGGATGAGTCGTCAGTTGTTAAAGTTGACGATATCTCAACTTTTATCACTAAGAAAACAAATGAAGTCTTGTTCGTTTTCTTTCCTCTTGCATATATAAGAATAATGTTAGAGTTATTCTTTTTTTTTTCTACTTAATAATTCCTTGCGTCAGGTCAGTTTAATTTTAACAAGATAAAGAGAAATCCCTTACACGCACTGTTGAATAAGTAACAAGTGAGCATTGTGTTTGCCTACTCTTCAAGCTTGTTGACTCTGTCTATACTCTACAGTCTACAGCGTCGAGGCGGGAAGTGACTGGTTAATTCGACAAATATTACCACAACCATAGACTGTATCTCAAAATGTCCACAGTTGGTATCATCTGCCACCACCAGTACATAATCTGACTTAGTGGTGTAGGTTGTGGTACGGGATGTAGAACTGTGGTTGGTATCATCTGCCACCACCAGTACATAATCTGACTTAGTGGTGTAGGTTGTGGTACGGGATGTAGAACTGTGGTTGGTATCATCTGCCGCCACCAGTACATAATCTGACTTAGTGGTGTAGGTTGTGGTACGGGATGTAGAACTGTGGTTGGTATCATCTGCCACCACCAGTACATAATCTTGACACCAGATGGCACCACCAGACAGACGCCTAAACTCACTCTCCCGGATGCCGTGTGTGTCAGTGGAACTTTAATGCAGTACAGTACAATTAATTTACTTGTGGAAATGATGCTCGAGACATAAAATAAACAGAAAAAAACAATTATTTATCCCGCGGAAAACATGAGCATCAACCCTTTAAATATATTTCATACATTGGCCAATAACATTTTAACTTACGAGTAATATTGAGTAAAACTTTCCACAGGTCATAAACACCGCCTTATCGAAGCAGTTCATCTTGGCGTTAAGAACGTTCTCTACACACTGGTTTATAACTGTCTCTCAGTAGGAGTTGCCTCGCTACTCCGCCTACTACGAATGACCTGACCTGACCTAACCTGACCTGACCTGATAAGAAAGCCCAAGTGTGTATTATAGCCTCGGTGACGTCACAGCTGATCCCACCTATCTCTATTAATTATTGGTCTATTCTCACACTGACCTGACCTGACCTGACCTAACCTAACCTAACCTGAACCCCGGACAAGTCCCACCTCTGCCTCCCCCACAACCAGGCGCTGTTGGCTGGCTGACAAAACCTTTGAAAGTCTTAAGATGGTTAGTTATAAGGCTCCTCTGTGATTTGTTGACTATAAATTACAGAGTTTATGTGTTGTCATTTATTTGGGTATATTTTGTTTTACCGTACTGATTTATTTTGAGTGAAATAAATTAATAACATGAAAAAGTTAGTAAAGTAAAAAAAAATAATAAAATATAATTGATAGATTAATTTTTGCTATAAACAACAATTTTCAGTGTATAGGGAGAGTCAAAGTTTACCCCCAGCTTAAAATAAAGTCAGCTTATCTCAAAGTCTGGCTGCAACTTATGTATATTTCCATCAACATGTAAGGTGACACAATATACAGTAATAAATAATGGTGTTAAAGTTTTGTGAAGCCTTGGATGGCAGAGGTTTTATTGCAACTATATCTTGCGCTAGTTAGGCCGCACCTCGATTATGCGGTTCAGTTCTGGTGCCCCTATTATAGAATGGATATATATTCACTAGAGTCGGTGCAGCGAAGAATGACGAAAATGATTCCGGGACTTAGAAGCCTTCCATATCAAGATAGGTTAAAGAAACTAAACTTGCATTCCCTAGAAAGACGAAGAGTGCGGGGAGATATGATAGAAGTATTTAAGTGGGTGAAAGGAATCAATAAAGGGGATATAGATAAAGTTCTTATAATATCCGAGCAGGATAGGACTCCTAGCAACGGATTTAAGTTGGATAAGTTTAGGTTTAGGAGGGAGATAGGAAGGAACTGGTTCACAAATAGGGTGGTGGACGAGTGGAACAAGCTTAGCAACTTTGTAGTAAGTGCTGGAACGCTGGAAGTTTCAAAAGGAGGCTAGATAGATTAATGGATGATAGAGAGTGGCAGTAGCTCTCGACAGGAGCTGCCATGCACAGGCCAACCGGCCTATTGCAGACTCCTTATTTTCTTATGTTATGGCCTTGGTTTCGGCTTCATGGCATTTTAAATGGTTGACTTCGGCTTCAGCTTTGTGACTTTCCAATGGCTTCGGCTTTAGCTTCGAACCAGGAGGCTTGGCTCCGGCCCCATGTCTGGTAGTCATCCATCTGAAATTGAATACATGGTTAACAAAAGAAAGGCGGTGTCATGGCGTTCCTCAAGGCGTCATCCTGTTTAATACCTATTATGTGTGTAAAATATTGTATAGGAAGCGTGTGTATGAGTATATGTATTATGCAATATGTATATATGTATGCTTGCGTTACGTATATATCATTATATATCGGTATGCTCTCATTTACGTATTAGATTTGCCTATGTATATTGCAGAGAGAGACCTGTAGTTGTCCTCAGCGGCCGCAGGAAGATAACAGAACACAGATAGTCTAGTTTATGTATATGTTGTTTATCTATTGTTGTTGTTGTTTACGTGTTGTGAGGCTTCTTCACCAGAGTATTTAATGTCCCACCAGTGAAGGTTGTTAGCAGCTGCACGAGAGACACATGGCGTCAACCTCAAGACAGTGTTACACCTACAACACTTCCCCCCCATCAATGAACTTGTTGCTGGACATGTGAATATATTAGTCTGTTTGATTTTTCCGCCCGTCCGTCTGTTCATCTGTATGTCCCAATTTAAGTTTACTGAAACCCGAGGTAACGAAAGTCAATCATATTATTTAACCAATTATGAGATTTGTAAGTAGTGGAAAATATTACAAAACTACCACCTTGAACCAGACAACTAAAGCTCGTAGGTGGTGCATCAGCATTCCTTCATGACTCGCGACAACGTGCCTAAATTATAAAACAGTTTCAGAGCAATTTCCTCGTCATTGAAGGCAAGCAATACTCGTGTCGTAGCGTAAGTGAACCTGTCGGATTTCTTTTCATGCCTGTACTTGCCACCTAAAGCGGAGTAATTAGCGTTAAGAGTTATATTCACATTAAAGCCGCCATAATAGAGGCTATGTCGGGGGAAACGAATCCTATTGTACTTAATATAGTCTTAGCCTGGACTATCTTCAGGCACGGCACTGATCTTTCTACGCAACTGAAATGTAAATAAAATAAATAAACCTGATTCACTTCTTATATCTACAACACAAAGATACACATTTAAAATAACATCGAAATATAACTCAGACTCTACAAAAACTGAGATCAGGAGTCGGGAAGTGAAATGGAACGTGAGAATGGCTGAAAATACTCCAACAGGATGCTGAGTCGACGCTTCGTCCCTGGATGTCTAACGCAGCGTAAAAGCTTTCTGGATATTTGTTCTGCATGCGTGAGTTTATCGTCGCCTCACGCTCTCTGGTGGTTTTGGGGGAAGTTGGTTTTTTGCCTCTCAGGAACGTGTTTGGTTCTTTTTATCATCTATTTGAGAGTTTATATAAGGAGAGAAGGATTTGTTTGCGAGGAGGAGAATCTAGTCCTCTAGTCGATTTGTTTTTGTTTTATTCTGTATGCAAAGATGTTTATACAAAGGGGGTAGAATCTGATCCTCCACTTGATGTGGTTTTTTTTTAGGCAAGGATGTTTATACAAAGGGGGTAGAATCTGATCCTCCACTTGATGTGTTTTTTTAGGCAAGGATGTTTATACAAAGTAAGTAGAATCTGATCCTCTTTTCGATGTGCTTTTGTTTGTGTCTGTATACTGTACACAAAATTTTATCCTTATTTAAGTGTTTATACAAGGAAAAGGGTCAAACCCTCTACTTTGGGCGGAATTCGAACTCATGACTTTAATGGTTGGTGAAACAAATACTCCACCAACGCCATTAAAAATAAATAAAATAAATAAATCATAGCTAAGGTGGTTGACGGTAAGGTAAGAACATAAGAAAATAAGGAGTCTGCAATAGGCCGGTTGGCCTGTGCATGGCAGCTCCTGTCGAGAGTTACTACCACTCTCTATCATCCATGAATCTATCTAGCCTCCTTTTGAAACTTTCCAGAGTTCCCGCACTTACTACACAGTTGCTAAGCTTGTTCCACTTGTCCACCACCCTATTTGTGAACCAGTTTCTTCCTATCTCCCTCCTAAACCTAAACTTATCCAACTTGAATCCGTTGCTCCGAGTCTTATCCTGCTCGGATATTATAAGAACGTTATCTATATCCCCTTTATTGATTCCTTTCACCCACTTAAATACTTCTATCATATCTCCCCGCACTCTTCGTCTTTCTAGGGAATGCAAGTTAAGTTTCTTTAACCTATCCTGATATGGAAGGTTTCTAAGTCCCGGAATCATTTTCGTCATTCATCGCTGCACCGACTCTAGTGAATTTATATCCATTCTATAATAGGGGCACCAGAACTGAAACGCAAGATATAGTTGCAATAAGACCTCTGCACTCTTGTTACACTTAGATATAAAACCCAATACTGTTTGTTTTATTTCGAACATTAAACTGTTTTTGCCGTAGGTCCGGGCTATAGTACCCTAGGTCTTTTCACAAGTCGACCTCTAGGTTGATGTTGTTAAGGCTGTATACATTATAAGTATTTGTTCTTCCAATATTAAGTACGCTGCACTTGCTGGTGTTGAATTTCATTTGCCATTTTCAGACACCCCTGCAGTTTATTTAGATCCTCCTGTAATGCATTTGCATCCTGCCCTGAATTAATCTTGCCCTATTTTGTGCTGATCCCAGTATCTAGATCGTTTATAGATTATGAACAAGAGTGGGCCAGTATCACCCCTGGGGAACCCCACTGGTTACACGGCCCCACTCAGATTTAACACCATCTACGCTGACCTCCTCTATCGGTGAGCCATGATTTTATCCAATTTAAAACTTCCTCGATACCATGAGCCTTAATTTTTCTCAGAAGCCTCTGATGCGGTACTCTGTCAAATGCTTTGCTAAAGTCTAAGTAAATAACATCGTAATTTTCGTCATTATCTACTACCTCGAAGACTTTCCTAAAAAACGTTAGCAGATTTGTTAGACAAGATTTTCCCTTTGTAAACCCATGTTGAGAGTCATAGATTAATTTGCTTTTCTCTAGATGCGATCGGATGCTATCTGTTATAATTGATTCAAGAAATTTCCCCACTACTGACGTCAAACTGATCGGCCGGTAATTTGACGCTGATGCTCTGTCTCCCTTTTTGAATATGGGTACTACATTTGCCTGTTTCCACAACTCTGGCACAACTCCAGTGTCTAATGATTTTGTAAATAAGTTTACGAGGGGTCTGCTAATCTGTTCCCTACACTCTTTTAAGACTCGAGGGAAAATTTCATCCGGCCCTGGGGATTTTGTATTCTTTAGTTTATTTATCTTCTTAAGAACATCCTCTTTTCTGATAGTGATATTCTTTAATTTCTTTTCTTCCTTTCCCTTAAATATCAGTTCCACCTCTGGAATTTCATCGCAAATTTCTTCTGTGAAATCTGATAAGAAGTAGCTGTTCAATGCTTTGCTTATTTTTTCACTGCCATTTATCAATTCTCTCCTCCCTGACTTTAAAGGCCCATCTTTGTCTTTGACCTTTGTCCTATATACCTGGAAAAATCCCTTGGGATTCGCCTTGGATTCTCTTGCTATTTTGATTTCATAGTCTCTCTTTGCTTTCCTTACATTTTTCTTAACATTCCTAGATAGTTCATTATACCTGTTTCTGAGCTGCTCCTCCCCTCCCTTTAATTTCTTATATATTCCTTTCTTTATTTCTATGTCATGTTTAAGTTTTCTGGTCATCCACCTTGGCTCATTCTTATTTGACCTAATTTTTCTGTATGGTATATTTTGTTCTTGTGCTTTATGTAGTATACTAGTGAATATATTATAGTCATGATCAATTGTTGTGTCATCTATGACCTCACCCCTTCCTACTGGGAACTGACGTGACTGTTCCCAGGTGACCTCACCTAGGTACCTTCTTAACCCCTGATAATCCGCCAACTGAAAGTTTGGGACTCTGACCATATTGTCATTGTTTTTCGTTTCCCAATTTAGGGTGAACCTGATTTCTCTGTGATCACTGTTACCTAGTTCTTCCCCTACTGTGATATCTCTGATAATATTTTCTTTATTTGTTAATACTAGGTCTAATATATTGTCACCTCTAGTAGGTTCTGTAATTAGTTGTTTCAAAAAATTGTCCTGTACTGCGTCTAGGAAGTCTTCAGATTTATAGTCGCCTACAATGTTGTCCCAGTCAATATTTCTGAAGTTGAAATCCCCCATAATGCATAGGTTGTTACATTTTGCTGCCCTACTCATTTCTTGCCATATGGGCTAAGCTGCTTCTTTGCCAAGACTTGGGGGCCTGTAAATCACTCCCATAATTAGTTTTTCTCTTCCTACCGTAATTTCTACCCACACAGACTCGGTTCCTATTTCACCCTTTATTGAATTATTAGTACAACATTTAAATGTATCCTTGACGAAGAGTGCGACCCCTCCCCCCTTCCTACCTTCCCTGTCCTTGTGAAAAAGGTTGTACCCTTCTATGTGGTACTCTGATAAAAAAATTTTGCTCGCCAGATTCATCCAAGTTTCGGTGATTGCTATGAGGTGGTTGACGGTAAAGTGAGGTAGTTGACGGTAATATGAGGTGCGAAAATTCTTGTGAGTGCTAGCAACCCCCCGCCCTCAGCCTGACACACACCGCTGAATACAAATTACAAAATCATGCGTGCCTTTGAAGCTGTACCTCGAGGCAGGGGGTATGAGGAGGTGGGGGGGGGGAGTATAGTATGATGGGGGCGGAGTATTAAGAGGGCGTGGGTATGGTGTGATGGGGCAGTAATGTGGTATAAGGAACATGTCAGTACAATACATGCCTATGGTTTATCAATCAATCATCAATTCTCAATCACATTAATAACCCTTCAAACTATACCTTATTCTATTAAATCAGCGAGAAGAGCCAACCACCACATCCAAACATCCCATTAACCACATCCCAACATTCAACATCAATTTAGAGAAGAAAACACGAAATATAGAATCATGATTCCTTTAGGTCTACAACAACAGCTAGGCCTATACTTTGAATAACATGACGAAAATTAGAATAGGCCTATTGTATATTCTTCCTATAGCCATTATGATAATTATATTGCATGAAGTTACATTTTTTCTTTAAGTGTTAATAATTGTCGGGTTTATCGGCGATAGTCTTGGCCTGAGGGAAGGAGGGAAGGCAGGAGGGAGGGAAGGAGGAGGAGGGAGGGAGGAGGAGGAAGGAGGGAGGAGGAAGGAAGGAGGAGGAGGAGAGAGGAGAGGAAGGAGGGAGGGGAGAAGGAGAGAGGGGAAGGAGGGAGGGGAGAGGGAATAGAGGGGATGAGTGAAGGAGGGGGAGGGAGGAGGGAAGGAGGGAAGGAGGGGAGGGAGGGAAGGAAGAGGAGGGAAGGAGGGAGGGGAGGGAGGGGGAGGGAGGGGAGGGAGGGAGGGAAGGAGGAGGAGGAAGGGAGGGGAGGAAGGAGGAAGGAGGGAGGGAGGGAGGGGAAGGAGGGAGGGGAGGGGAGAAGGAAGGAGGAGGGAAGGAGGGAGGGAAGGAGGGAAGGAAGGAGGGAGGGAGGGAGGAGGGAAGGAGGGAGGGAGGGAGGAGGGAAGGAGGGAAGGAAGGAGGGAAGAGGAGGATGTATGAGTAGGAGGAAGGAGGGAAGGAGGGAGTGGGGAGGCAGAGGCACGGCATGATGCTCCAGGTACTAGTAGTTGCATGTTGTATGCAGTTATTGGCCCAAACTGCAGGTTGTGTGTTTTGACAGCCCAGCAGGGGCCAGGTGGTGATGGACCTATTGTTCTAAAATGGTTTATTTCATATGTGTGTGTGTGTGGGGGGCCCAGTGTGTGTGTGTGAGGTCCGACTGTTATTCAACCACTTCACTTCCACTACCTGCCAGTCCTTTCCTCCACAAAGCTTCTATTCACTAAAAGTTCAAGACTGAATACATGGGAGATCAATTAAACCTTAAGGCAATGACTCTCTAGGATAACGACAACACACACACACACACACACACACACACACACACACACACACACACACACACACATACAAACACACACACACTTAAAGCAGACAGTGTACAAAGTGGATCATTAAATTTCCACATTATTTACAAACCTCCATGCCACTTTAATGTGTTTACTTAAATTGACTCGTCAGGTTTTTCGATGATATTTTGTGCACCTGCCTTCCTAATAAACCTAATAACCGCCCCATCTGGAGGTGACCATGACGCAGGAAGATGGTCACTGGTTTGTGTGTGTATTGGTCAGCTCCTTGTTAATAGTGGTTTTGCCTAGGACTAGTTTGAAGCCCAGTGATGTTCTCGCTTCCACGGCCTCAACTGCTAGACTGTTCAATAGGTCTACTAGCCTCTGTGTGAAGAAATATTCCTTTATCTTCGTCCTTCATAACACCTTGGCGAGCTTGTAGTTGTGTCCTCCTGTGCTGGGTTCACGTTTCCCAGCCCTTTCAATGGTGTGACTGCCGCTATAATATCTGCCCTATTGTGTCTTGTTCTAAGGTCCTCAGTCTACTTGGATAATCTAGAGGATTTAGTTGAGGTTTAATCCTAATGTGTAACCCTCTCTTCACTTTCAGATAATGACCTGGAGGAGCTTGGTATCTACGCCACACGTCCACCGCTTGTCTTCCCGGCGGCGAAGACAACGACCATCACATCCCCGAAGGTTAACCGGACTGAGGATGAAGAATCACCTTCCTCCTCTATCTCCACGACCACCACGACCTCGACGACTCTACCCGTCCAAACGACTTCTATGACCACGATCGAGATGACTGATACCTCTGAAGTTACCAACAGAACAGGACTGGCACCAACGCTGACGACCTCTATAGACAGAATCACCAGAAGGCCAGATAAACCTGCCTCTCACCCCAGAACGGAGAGCCCTAGTGCAGCCGTCAGCTCTGGGCCTGAGGTTCGGTCTCCCTCATCAACACCTCCAGATGATGATGATGATGATGATCTAAATCTTTGTCGGAGAAGATACATGAGAAGGAAAGAGAGAAGAAGGGGCAAAAAAAACGATAATGTTGGAGGGAAGGATAGAAGGGGACATAAGGGCCGTAGAAGAAACCAAAAGAGAAGACGAAACAGAAATAAAAACCGAAAGCTTGAAGGTGGTGATGGAAAGGCAGGAGCACCCCCTCGAGGCCGCAGTGATCGTAAACAAGGCAGGAGAGGCTGCAGAAGGCGGAAAAAAGGTAGACATAGAAACGAAGAGAAAAAGGGGACTTCAACACCTGCCCGTACGTCCGCCGTTAACCAGGAGGGCCAGAGTATACAAGGTGACACTCCTGTAGACCACCTCGTGAAGAACAACAACAGACATCTTGAAAATCATGAACCTCGTCGAGTCGAAGAGAGAATAAAACTCTCACTCCTAGAAGAAACTGAAGAACACGAGAAGAACAACTCAGATCAATTTCTCACAAGTAACAAGTTTTTCTACATTAACCGACCTCGAGAGATGGTGAATTTCAAGCGTACACGGGCATACAGGAAACCAAAGCCTCTGTATGTGAAGGGTCATCGAGTAAGGCATGCACGGAGGAACGGCGGTGATGGCCAGGTGACGAGAGATTGATCAAAACAAAGAGAGTCCACTTCTTCAGAGGATCAGTCGTATTTTATTGATATTTTATGAACGCTGGTGAGATAAGGGCCATTGAGGTTAACACAATATGTATCCCAAAAGAACTGTACCAAAGATAAACCGGAACATTGAATGATAAAACTATAAAACGAAATAACATACACGAGAGAGTCACTATACACCAACAGACACAGTGTATGGTTACATTAAGAGACGGTGTGTGTGTGTGTGTGTGTGTGTGTGTTTGTGTGTGTGTGTGTGTGTTGCTACCTGATAGTGGCCGTGTTGCCTCCTGAACTTGTTAACATGATCAAGGCGAGTACAGTAGAAGTCTTGGACACCTTTCCTAACACAGTGAGACACAGCACCAAGTTGTGTTTGTGGACCCGAAGATATATATTGTACATGTTTTATAATTAATACTTTGTAAACAGATTTATAAAGATTGTGACACTTTAATGTATGTATATATATATATACTCTTATGTAAATTAGACATATAATACGTTATAGACCCCAAAAATTATATAATTTCTTTTAAGTTCAAAATTTTCTAACATTTTTTTTAACTTGCTGCAAACTTGTGTATGTGTTGACACCAGTAGCTCTTATATACACTATCCTTTAGAAGTCGTTCTATCATCAGTGAATACCTGTATGTTAAAGTCAGTCACGAAATCTCACGTGAGGTGGATCATGTGACCAACACTACTCCTCTCAGCTCACACACACACACACACACACACACACACACACACACACACACACACATGTACCTGTGGCAATTATCTGTTAGTACATTTTATTATTAGCAAGAACGTTAAAGCATTTCCCTCTGCTGGTTTGTGTCTGTCTGTCTATAATGAGAACCATGCTGCGTAACTTAATTAAAAAAAAATGCTATCTCCAAAAATACTCTAATATCTATCTCCAGGAGAGCTAAATTCATCTCTATTTTCCTAAGCTCTAAAGTTCGAAGTTGTATGCTCTCATTTTTAGTATTACAAAAATATTAAATATCTACATTCGTTCTAGTTATAAAATGTATTTATTTTTAATTAATAATGAAAATAAAGACACAAAACTATATTCAACAACTTAAGTATAGATTTTGTTATATAATTACGGTGATATATTTTTCATGTGGTGGTGTGCCGAAACTTGTGCCTTAATCTATGTACAACCAGCAGAGGTATGGTAACTAATTAAGGTACCATACAGGTGCCTTAACTTACACAGGTACAGAAATATATATATATGTAAAATCTGTATCGCTACTCCGTCTGTATATTTGATTGAATTAATTTATCATTCCGTCTATATTGATGAAGTTAATGTTGATTTAACTAAAATAATTATATTTCCTTCCCCGGTGTTAAAGTGTTCCTTACTTGGCGCCACATTGAGACAAGGTTACCTGTCTACCTTCTTGTTCATATGTGATGTCTATTTTAGTTGTGCAATGATACAGCAACATTCCTGAGCTAAAAGGTTTATAATCAATTTCATTTACACTCCTTCATCTGGCGCGAAAAGTTCCTTGGTCGCTACCGTAATTCGCTGCCATCCATGACGATTCAACAAAACCGGTTCTATCTCATCTGGTTCATCTCTCCGCCTCCTCCGTTCCAATCCTTCATTCACACGCCAGGGGTCTCAGAGAACCTACATTCCACCTCCACCTCTGCGTTTATGATCTCATACCTAAGGCAAAACAATTAACCCGGCCGTGCGTGACAGAGACGTAACCGATCAGTGGCGAAGAGGATAAAAGTAAAGTAAAAAGTGACAACAGAAGGAATCCGATATCTCAGTCTCCCCTTTGAACATTATATATCTAATTCTATTTTCAATCTTTATTTTCCCACACCTATTCTTTCACTAATGCACTATCATATTACATTTTAAAAATGATGATAATTTATCTTTAACATTCATACTTACATCCTGCTTGTTACCCACTCGCTCATAAAATATTATTCAATGACTTGTGTTCCTATTGTGCAGCCTTAAGACACACAAGTTACCGATCGCACGACGAGATAAACAGATGTTAACATAGAAAATGAATTAGTGACGTAATGAGGACAGACTAAAGAAAACAAGTGAGAGAGGCGGGAAAAGCTCCATCAGTTAGGATAAACGTTCAAAAAACAAACACACAGCTATAATATTTCCTCTTCTTATATTTAATATCATAGCATGTAGTTTAGCTTTACCGGACACAGCAAGCATACTAGTGAGCGATGTGTGAAGTGTTATATAATGCATGTGTGTGTGTCCAGTATCCACGGTAACAGTTGTAAGTGTTATAGGAATAGGAAATTATATATATATATATATATATATATATATATATATATATATATATATATATATATATATATATATATATATATATATATATATATATATATATATATATATATACGGTTTTCACTTTTTCATAAGACGTACACTTACACTTATGGTTTGTGTTTTTATGTCTGTCGGGGTTTTGATATACCACCTATAGGGATATTTTCGCTCTCTCTCTCCCTCTCTTGCTTTCTCTTTCTCTCTCTCTCTCAAATATAAACGAATAAGACGATTAACGATGAATGAGACAAGGAGTAGAATTGCACTATCTATGTATCCATCCTACGCCTCTCTCTCTCTCTCTCTCTCTCTCTCTCTCTCTCTCTCTCTCTCTCTCTCTCTCTCTCTCTCTATGTATCCATCCTACGCCTCTCTCTCTCTCTCTCTCTCTCTCTCTCTCTCTCTCTCTCTCTCTCTTGTGTCACGCGTGCACACAGTAATAACTACAGCAACACTGTACTGTACTACATGAGAGCACCAAAGTTATTCACTAAGTTACGGACTGACGGTGTTATTTGTCAATATTTACAAAGTTGTCTCTATTATGTTATTGGGATCACCTGAAGATTAGCTACCCCAGCTTATTTTACCTTAATGTTAACCACCCTAACCTAACCTAACACTTGCCCACCCAGACAACGTTACGGTGTTTTATTCATTAGGTGAAATAATCTGGGGTGTCTATTCTTCAGGTGATCTTGTTACTATTATGTAATGCCTGAAATAAACACTTATAAAACCTTGTCTTTTATTTACCAGTAGTTGTGACCGGAGAATTTTGTGTACAATTTAAGAAGCAATGTTGGAATTAATCATTAGACAATATTTAAAGGCGCTTAAGGTTACACAGAAATTTAAACAAATAACTCAAAAATAATATAAAAGTTTATGTTTGTGTCGTAAATTACACCAGGATTATTTGAAACACATGGATGATTATTATATTTTGTCAATAGATTATATAATACAACAATTAAGTTTCAGATAAAAACAAATGAGCGCCAGTTAAGTCTTGTTCCTTATGGACCCTAAGTTTACCTTATCATTAAGGCTGAGATTCATTAAGAGATGGCATTTTTCTAACTAGTTAAGTCAAATTAGAGTTAATAAGATCTGATGCCAACCGAATAAATTGGATTGACTTAACATAAACTTTTATTATTCACATTACTGCCGTTGGAACAATATATATATATATATATATATATATATATATATATATATATATATATATATATATATATATATATACATATCATTATGTTATATTACAGTATAACCGGCATTAGTTGTGTGGTAATGGTATCTAGAGAATCATGGTACGTAACGATTAGTGAATGACAGATTGACGTCAGAGGGTACCAGTTCATAATATGCTAAAATTAGCTCTATTTGGCAACCTCCGCGTGTCTAGTAAGAGCTATAAACTCAATAGAACTTTGTCAGATTCTCTCAATATTTACTTCTAATCTACAATACTTTTAGTAGCATCCCGTACGAAAGCCACATGTTAGTATAGATAGGTCTTCATCTCCTTATTTAACATGACTGGATGCTATAGTTAATACAACGCGTTAATAGACCGTGTGTTATGAACCTGCCCAAAAGTAAGCAGAAACAGTAACACGGGAGTATAATCCATTTCTCAGACGTTGTGCATACGCCATCAGTTTACATCCCAGAGATAAGATATATATATTTTACTTTTACTTTTAGCATGGGAAGTAGGTAGTAGGCAGCTATCAATCAGGGAGGTACTACCGCCTGGCTAGATATTGGAAGCATAATGAGTTGTCTAATGGTAGACCCTGCTGCCATATGGCATCACAAATATTGTGACCAAGTCCCAGGTTGATGATCTGACTTTCTGCCTCATTTACACACAATTGCAGGGTCTCAATTGTTTCTCTTACTTTGAGAACACAACATACATACACTATTGATTTTTTTTCTTTATGGTTCTTTATTATTATTATTTTTATTATTATTATTATTATTATTATTATTATTATTATTATTATTATTATTATTATTATTTTTAGTAGTAGTAGTAGTAGTAGTAGTATCAGTGTTGTTGTTATTATTATTATTATTTTATCATTATTACATTTTCGGCCCCCAGGCCCCGATGTGAGTCAGTGACCTGTGCCAGGGTGAGCTAATCCCTGGAAAAAAAATCTCTTCACCACTGATCGGCTCGTTAGCCGCTTGGGCGATCGGTCAGGTCTCTGTTACTAACTGTTGGCAAGTACTGGGTATGCACCGGCTACTGAATGTATCTGAACCTGCTCCAGTGTTGGTCAAGCCTGGTTTTGAAAGAGCTCACACTCGGTGCCGTCACAACACTTTCTGGCAGATTGTTCCAAGAGTTTACAACTCTCACTCCGAAAAAGTTTGCCCTCGTAGTTTTCTGGACGTGCGGGTTCTTCAATCTTGAGCTGTGACCCCTTGTGGGGCGAGCGTCCGCCAGCTCCAAGTAAGGACACTCGTCTGAGTAGTGCCCCTGGAGATGCTTATACACCTCAATTAGGTCGCCCCTTGCCCGTCTGTAGTATAAGCTAGGCAAGTTCAGGCGCTCCAGCCTCTCGGGGTAGCTGAGGTGCCGAAGTGCAGGCACCAGTCTGGTGGCCCTCCTTTGAACATTTTCAACCAACTGACAGTCCCTAGCATATCTCGGGACTAGTCCTCATTAAGACGTGCATGGTCAGTGATCTAACAGACATACTAGTGATACTACTGTTACTGCCACAGTAGGATAAACTAGAAGGGAGAGAGAGAGAGAGAGAGAGAGAGAGACAGAGAGAGATAAGGGGGGGGGACAGGAGAGAGACGGAGGGAGTGTTTACAACGAGCTTTGCTGAGGTGTTAAGTGTGAAACAGATTGTCCTCGCCTCGGGCTGACTAGTTCAACTAGTCAGTCTCTAGCCATCCAGTGAGCCATCAAGTCAGGGAGTTAATAAGTCCTACATTAGACACGAAACACGTAAGTTTTATATGGTTTAACACCGTACTCTACTCAAATAAATTATATGTAGTCGTTAATAGTGAAGGAACGTACGAGTGAATTAATTATGTCATACGTAACATATGTAATTTGTACTCTGCCGGTTTTGACCGAATAAAGACAATCGAGTCCTACGTGCAAGGGTCTCAATTATTCCGCAGTCGCTCATTGGGGCGGTTACACTGTAGTGGATTTCTCCCCTACAAACGCTGTTTGTCGCTGCCTAGCCGACCCCACGAATTCCCCAGTGTGTGCCTCGTGGTCTAGGTCAACCAGCGCCGCCATACACCACGGAGCAGGGGTCAACTACTAAGCCACGCCAACCCCCGCTATTTAAGACCTGACCTCGTGGTGATCTCTCTCTTTCGACCTACACCAACCAGCCAGCAACACCTCCTCCTCCTCCGCCTGCCTGGCGGTCCTCGCTCCCGCCGGCGAGCATGGCGACCCACAAGCTGTCCTCCTCTGAGCACCCTCACTAACCAGCTCTCTCTACATCACGCTTGTAACCATGCTGCCACTTCCCAGCACCAAGCTACATTGTACATCCAATACAACATGTATACAGAGAGCACATTGTGAGTTTCCTTTCTCCATCCCATCCTGAGTGTGAACCAAACAAACCCGTACCCCACAACACTACTACAGAGAAAACCTGAATTTACTTTGTTTTGTTTTTCCTTCAGGAGCATACTGTCACCAGTCTGTTGTCTTAGATGTCTCTATTTATATCTTACAGTACTCTTCTGAATTACTGCAGAGATGTACGTGTCCGTGGGAGGGGTGTGTCGCATATCCCACCAAGGAAAACTTACCTCCTCTCCCTCCCCTCTCCACTCTAAGATGCAGTAATAATATCTATGTATTGTTTTTTGTCAGAGTTCTAAGTACAGTTTCACCCTTATACTCTTATCGGTTATCACAATGTTGATATTACTCAGTGATAAGGAAGCCAAGGTTAGTAAGTCACTGACCGATCGGAAAGAAAATATAACGTTTGCATGTCTCCCGAAATTTATGATACCAATTGAGTAGCTTAACTGATAGTGAATACATTGAGGTAAACAGTAAAACCATTCCTGAATTTATACACAATATAGCATATATATTTAAACTTAATGGATCATTTATATTTCATCTTGGAAAAACTTAATGCTACAAACTGTGCAGAATTATATATAAATATTGTTTGTGAGACTTTCCTTTATCTAATTAAATTTTCATATAATAAGATGTAGTCTTATATAATAAGAGTTAATTCGTTTTTTCTCTGATAAGGGTAAAAAAAAAACTCCTTTGAGCCCCGTAACGATCTCGCCAGTTTATAGCTCACTCGCCGGGCAGGTAGCTCCCTTACCCAACAGCTGATCAGTGTCGTCAACAAACCAGGGAGCAGGACTGAGTGTGTCGCAGGTAACCAACTTTCTCCATCTCCTGTTTCATTATTCTTCCTTTATTTGAGTAAGTAAGTACTTGATAATGTTTTGGAATCGTTGGTAGATGTATTTGGTAGGATGTGTGGGTTTTTAATCACTGGTAGTTGAGAAACGATAAAGTTTTAATTCAGTTTGTACCCAATGCGTCCTCGGGGTTTTTAAATACGACGACCCATTTGTTTATTTACGTTATTTAAAAGGCTGTGAATATTTAAATAACATGTGTTTATGTTTACTAACAGGCTGTAATGAATATCCCCAAATAATTATAGATTTGACGTATATATATATAATAGATATAATATATTTCATTATTGACTCTTGAATGGAAGTGTCCATGATAGATGTCTGTCCAGTCGATTTAACATGTGACTATAGATAAAGGACAGTCAGAAGTGTACAGCCTTGTGTTTATACTGTCATCTGCTATTACCCTCTTGTAAAATAAATAAGGCAGGCACGTAACACAAAGAGCCTTATCACCCCGATGTCACGTGTAGATTAGGTAGGTATTGTGGGGTTTCGAGATGTTGTCTCACACTCAGGACGGGTTGGAGAAAGGAAACTCACAATGCACTCTGTGTATACATATTGTATTGGATGTACAGTGCAGTTAGGGTACTGGGAAGTGGCAGCGTGGAGTAGAGAGCTGGTTGGTGAGGTGTTCAGAGGAGGTGTTGCGTGCTGCGTGGCTGTAGTTAGAAGAAGGGGCAGGTCACGGCGAGGTGAGGTCTTATATAGCGGAGGTAGGAGTGGCTTGATAGTTGACCTCTGCTTTGTTAGGCAGCGCTGGTTGCCAACCTTAGACCACGAGGCATAGGCTGGGGAATTCGAAGAGTCAGCGACAAACGGCATGGATTAAGCAGCAAATTTAGGGATTTGTGGTATAGAAGATAATTGTTGTATTACCTCAAGAATATCCAAAAAAATTGTGAGTATTTTTATTTTTTGTAATATTATCATGATAATTTTTGACAATAATTTTATCATGGTCCCGAAAATTCACAAACGAGCATTATTGTATAGTTTTAATGTGATTCCCACAATTGGCCATGTTTTTTCTTTAAATTCTGCATTTATTTTGACCCCACATTTTCCACTCAGCTTTCTTGTCTTATTTACTCACTCACAGATGGCTACAGTACTAACCATTGTATTGTAATCTATCAATTGTTTCCAGTTTACACATTAAAGTAGAGAGCATCATGTTCCGTACACTGTCGTCACATTTGGTTTCATCAGCTGTACGTCACCATCGCACAGCTGCTACCAGGTTGGTTTTGACGAATGATTTGATGACACATTATATATATATATATATATATATATATATATATATATATATATATATATATATATATATATATATATATATATATATATATATATATATATATATATATATATATATATATATATATATACAATTTATTTATATCCTTATATTTTGTCCAGTAATGTGCCAAAATTTGTAATCATTGGCAGACTTATGATTGCCTTTTTATTCCCAACAGAAAGTTCACTTACTGGTATATATAGTCATTCATTTATTTGGTATTTTTGGAATAAAATCCATATACTGTATAAGCTACTTGACCTACTGCATATTTAGGTATTGTATTGTATGCATTTTCCTACCAGGTATACAGATATTCAGAGATGGCTGTCAACAGCAGAAACAGCCACCCACCCCCATGGGTCACTGAGCAACCAGTCCCCTCCTATGGACCTGCGCTCAGCCCAGAGTGTTTGTAACTTCAATATTGAGGAAATGACAGCACTCCTTGATCATGATAACCATGAGATGAGGACCAAGTTTAGGTAATTTTCACTCTACTGTGTCATGTGGCTCATGGTGGTGAAGTATTTAGTCAGTATGAAGGTTGCCTGTTCTCTCCCATTCTCTACAAATCATCCACATCTAATCATACTTATTATGCAGGAGTGTACATACAGACTAATAAATACATCATGTGTAAGATTATCCTCAAACAAATTGATAAATGTCTTTATATAAGAATTCCTTTATTACAAACAGTTGCCGAGTCCTATCTGCACTCTTGATGTGACGAGTATCATAAACATCTTTACTGTATTGCAGAGAATTTATGAGCGATCCAGTTATGAAACCTCGCTACAACATCCCCCTTCATGAGGAGCGTGATGTAGCTCTCGCTCGACTCCAACGGATCTGTGACTCGGGGTTCATCTCTGTACTCGACTTCCAGAACAACCCACTCCGTATCTTTGCCGCCCACGAGTTAGCGTCCATTATTGATCCTGCAATGGCTACCAAGATGACAGTGCAGGTGAGTTTGGCTTAGATCTCCTCATTGGTGGTATACATATAAATATTAAATATGGCAATGATTTTAGTGTGGATATCATGTATTCAGCAAATGAATTAAGGAGGGGTAATGTTTGGAAACTTAATATAATGATAAGATTGAAAACAGACAAATTAAAAGAATAAATAGAACCAGATGTAGGAAATATACTGGATGGAAAAATTTACTGAAAATTTTATAGGAGGGATAATCTCTTGAGGGAAATATACTGTACTGTGATTATGGAGTTTTGAGGAGGTCTTCAATAGAATCTCCTTCTGTATGTGATTGTCTAGAGATTGATTCATGTACGCTCTCTCCTAAGGGTATCTTTACGGAACGGTCCGATGAATTTCAAAACGAACACCTCGGTAGGGTTGTCAAAATCCTTCGTCCGTTGTGTCATATTGTCTCAAACAAATTCATAATGATACTTTTTGGAACATGCTTATTGTTAATTGAAAATAGCCAATAACTTGCGTGTATTTACTATTTTATTTATTCCAGTTCAACTTATTCGGGGGCACTGTTTTGAAGCTGGGCACCAAGAGACACCACGATAAACTTCTCGCCGGAATTGATACCTTGAAGGATGTTGGCTGTTTTGGCCTCACAGAATTGGGCTATGGTAACAATGCCGTGGAAATGGAGACCACCGCTGTTTATGATAAGGAGACTGGTGAGATGACCGTTGTTGGATCATGTTCTTTTTAACTTTTACTCTTGTTGTCATTTTCCTATTTCCTTGTATGGTTCAACAGGCAAGATGTTCTCTTTCTTATGCAGAGGCCTGGGTTTATATTTGTCAAAAATTAGATACAGTACTTAACCTGTGTCTTTTTGCCAGGTAACTCCAGAATGTTATTAATTTATTCATTTTCTCTCTCAAACAATGATCCAAAGATGATAGTAATACCGTAATTGTATTTTAATTACCCGAAGGTACAACTATAATTATATGTATTCTGTACTCACTTTGTATGTGGTAGGATTTTAAATTACAGTGGATCTAAATCTTTGAAATCTTGGACCTGATCAAATCCATACACTAAGTTAACCATTCTCATCTCAAGGATTTTCTTGGGGTTGGTTGGTGTTTTTCTATCCCACCTCTCCACACCCACCCACCCCCATACACAGAAATTTCACACTCAAGAATTTATATGGGTTACGTACAGGTACAAGCTTTCATATAATAATTAAAGCAAATACGTATATGGAGTGTAATTTATGTCTATAGCAAATTCGTCAGTGTGAGTACAGCATCTGAAGTTTAATATATGATAGAGAACAGCATTTAAATATCACCTTGCTGAGTCTCTATCCTTTCCTAATGAGGACATTTCGAGCATCAAATAGAGGTGAACCAGATGCCTAATTTTACTTGTGGCAGAATAACCCAAATAAAAGTTTCCAATAGTTTCATATATTTTTTCTCCAAATAAGGTTCTATCTCCTTTCTGTAGGCTCCATTTCTTAGTAAATGATGAATTTATGAAGGGATTTTAAATGCACAGTTTCTTGAGGTTCATATTTACAAAGAATTTTCTTTTTTCAGAGGAATTTATTGTGAATACACCCAGCACTCTGGCACAGAAGTACTGGATCACCAACGGGGCTGTTCATGCCAAGCACATTGTTGTGTTTGCACAGCTGATTGTGGAGGGCGTGAATCATGGTATCCACGGTGTTCTTGTTCGCATTCGTGATGACAATTTACAGGTGTGATGGGTTTTATATGTAAAACAGTACTTTTTATAATTGTCCTTTATATAGCTATATAACTGTGTTTAGAACCAAAAATATGAATGGGGCTTAATTCCTTCAGGTGCTGCCAAATGTTCGTGTGGAGGACATGGGGTACAAGATGGGCTTGAATGGAGTAGACAATGCCAAGTTGGTGTTTGATAACGTGCGAGTGCCACGAGAGAATCTGCTAAATAAATACAGTGATGTGTCACCAGAAGGAGAGTTCACGTCTTCAGTTAAAAGGTACAAGTACTCTACAGTGTTAGATGTATACAGTACTCAGTTCATAACATATTGTTCCATGGTCTGTACCATGTGTTATTTACTTTCTAAACATTGTACTCTACCTCATTAAACTCATCATTATATATTTTATGCTCATATTTTCAGGCTGCTATTCCTCATGTCCCATAATTTTACACAAATCTAATTCATCTACATATACTGTACTTTACATGTTATATTATAGAGATAGTGGTTACTTCAGTACCAACATTAGAGAATAGGAATTTTTTCAGTAAATAAAGGCACCAACCTCCTCATAATCTTGTGTACTCCACGTCCTTTATACCGTACCTGAATTAGCTCATTAAACTTTTAACTTATTTGATTGGTTATTGCACCATAGCAGGCATAGCTAACCATTTCACAAATATACATCAAGTTGCTGATTTGGTTCTATTACGTTATTTTGGACATCGGTGATACCTGTAAGTCAGTTGCAGGAATACATATGAAAGTTATCTAATGCTGCTCTTTTCTGACTTCAGCTCCCGTGCTCGGTTCCTCACAGTGGCAGATCAGTTGCTGTCGGGTCGTATTTGTATTGCCAGTATGTCCATGGGTGTCTCTAAAGCTGCCCTCGCCATTGCCTTACGTTATGCAGCATCTCGCCTGACCGTTGGTGAGTTATGTATACTTTTTTTTTTTAACTTGAATCTGATTAGTAGTTGATAAATCTAAAGGTCAGAAGTACCTGAAAAATGATATGTTTGCAAATTGTTATAAGTACTGTAGTGAATATTGTCAACACACACACCTGCACCCATTCATTACTTTTATCTTGTGGTACTGTCAACAGGTCCAACAGGTAAATCTGACATGTCAATTCTTCAGTACCAGCTGCAGCAGAGAACCCTTTTGCCTCTTCTGGCTAGGACATATGCTATCAACTTTGGACTAGACTATGTGAAGGTGAGTTTATCCACCACTGCTTAAACTTTGGAAACCAGGCAAGGTTAAAACTTTCATATTTATCACCATACAAACTTAAATAATTGTCTTACAAGATCCTCTTTACATGACTTAGCGTTCCAATACCTCTACTATGTGCTTTTGTCTTCAACAGGAACGATGGGCATTCCAAGCACCAGATGGCTCTGAACACCCTGAAGTTGTAACAATGTGCTGTGTCATCAAACCCTTGGCATCTTGGAATTCAGAAAATGTTGTTTCAGTGAGCCGGGAGCGCTGTGGAGGACAGGGATACCTCTCATGCAACAGGTGGGTCATGGCAATAATGTTTGGCTTATCCATTCAACCATATGTCTTTTTCTCCATCCTCCTGTCACACCTTTTGTCCTGTACATGGAGTAATGTTTGACAGTGATTATCTAGTTCTTCAGTACAGGAAACCCTCAGTAAACTGGACTTGTTCGTAGCCCAGACTGATTTTGTGATGAATCAAAATGTGGGAACATAAACACTTCCTAATTTTTTATCATTTAACCAATATTAATATAGGGTTAATTCTACATTGTTTTGCCTAGTTCAATATCTTATTTTCCTGGAATGTATCCCCAACATAAATACAGAACTTAATATCTTTAAGAATATATATTTTTTTTTTCACAAAAAGTTACAGATAGATCAGGTAAGGTCTTGTTTATCCAGATCTCTGTTATAGTATAGTGTTAGTTTTAGTTGTCCAAAGAAAAACATATTGTTGGTGAGATGAATATTCAGCTCACAAGAGTGCACATGAAAGAGTGAAAAAAAAAATTAAATAATGTGATCTTAAACATGAGAATGTTTTCCTTTCTTAGGTTTGGCACCTTCCTGGGTCTAGCCCATGCAGCAATGACAGCCGAGGGGGACAATTGCGTCCTCATGCAGAAAGTAGCAAAAGAGAGACTGGAAGCCTTCAAGCCTCTAGCTACAAACAAAGACCTTCCAGAAGACCCCACCAACATTCAGTTCCTGCATGACCTCCTTAACAGAAGGGAGAACCTCTACTTCATGGTACAGTACTGTACCCCTGTATTTAAGTTTTTACTCGGTTACAGAATACTAATCATGCTCCTTATATCGTTGGCAAATTTTAATGTTATTTGTTAAGAGTCCTGGCGGCCTCAGAGGGATATTTGTGAATATTGATGTAACTATTTTCAGTATGGGAGAGTAATAAGTTAATTAGTCACTGGTCAAATAAGCCTCAGTGGCAACTCAGTAGATTACAAACTTACTCTAACATGACAGGTGTGAATTGTCATTAGTTCAAACTGCAGGTAGCTCAAGCAGATTTACAAAGTTTTAAATCCTAATTATGCTTCTGATGATTTGACACTTATTTGAATTAAGCAGAGTTACCGGGTATCTGGAACCTCTCATTTAGTAACTGCATGTGCCTCCTCCACCTTCATAAAGAAAATCAGGTGCAGGGGTTTTTAGTTCTACCCCAGCCACAGCAGAGAGCAGTGGTGCTTTGGAAATGTTAATCTTACTTACTTGTAATTCCTTTCATGTTAAAAAGTCAGATATTATTTACCCTGGTGTTGCTGAAGCCGAGTTGATGTATGTGCTGTATTGTGGGGAGTAAAGTAATTTCCCGTCTTCAGGCACTAGGGAAGAAGTTGAAGACTGTAGGAAGGGCCGGTCTGTTTAATACATGGATGATGCAAGAAGCTGACTTAATTCAGGATGCTGCCTGGGCCTATGGAGAAAGGCTCATCTCTGAACAGGTAAGTTACCAGCTACGGTATTACTTTTTTTCAGAATTACTAAAGTCTCATGATAACTGCTTGGGTGTAAAATGATTTCTTATTATACAATGCTGTACTGTATATAATTCACTTTAAATATATTTATGTCAGTCAGATTTGTCCTTTCTTTTCAGTATTTGTTTTATATAATTTCAATTAACTTTTACTTTTACAGAGAAATGATAATAGCTAGTGACATCTGTCTGCTATCTTCTTGGACACACTTTCCATTTACATTCAGTTGCAACAGATTATTGGTGTCTTACAATATATTTTTAATTGTTTTCCATATTTTAAATGATTGTTTCATCAGCCACTTGTCTCCATGAAGCTCTCACTGACACAGCCACCTGTTATCTGTCATCTTCTCCACTGGTGTTCTTTCCATGTAACATCTCCCCCAGTGCTCGATGCTTAAGAACTTTCCCTTTATAAAGATACAATCAGTACATCCAATCTTTACAACATAATTTACTATCATTCCAAGCTTTAACATTCTGCATGAGAGAGTAATTTGTTCAGTACCTCTCTGGTTATCTGATCCTAACTCTGCTCTCCTGGTACCTTCACAAATGTCATGGCTTCTTACTTTTTAACTTTCTCTCAGTGTTGCCTGTTACCTGTGCATACATTTTCAAGCACTGGTAACATCATACCATCTGTTTCACATAGTTTGTTTCCTTATCCTTCCTTATCCCTTTGTTTTCATTCAGTTTAGTTCTCAGTCATACTATACCAAATCTTCATGAGTCCTCTTGCAACTGTTCTTTATGGCATATGCATTATTTGTTAAAAAAGAAGTTTACTATAAAAAAATTATACACTTTCAACTGTCAACAGTTTGGAAAAGTGCTTAAGACTTGTGAGAGCAGCCTGACACCTTCACTGACTAAGCTGTATCACCTTTACCTTCTGGACATTTTGGAAAAGAATATGGGCAGCTTTATTATCAATGGACTGATTTCCCCAGAGGCAGCCAAACAGGTAGGCAGCACCTGTCTCTGGTCTGTAACATGTAGAAGACTGTATTAAATTTATTTGTGTTCTGTGGTGTGTTGAAAGAGGACTTAATCAAATACTGTATAGAGACATTTACAGTACTAATGAAAGGAAAAGGATATTAGTTTTTCTAAGTTAAAGAACAGGACTGAATCAGTTTTTTAAGTCTAAGTCTGTATGTCAGAGCTGCATCAAGAGCTTTTTACAGCTAAGATTAAAAACATTAATAGTTTCATATAAGGTAATCCACTTTCTTTTGGTTTTTAATACCTTCTTAATTATGGTTTGGTGTATGTGTGTGTGTTTAATTCTTTCTTTTTGACTGTATTTGAAATGGATGTGTAGCATAAATGTATTGTTAATAATGATAATTTAATATTAAATGACTTACTGGCTTTTTTTTTCCCCAGGCTGTTGCTGTATCCCGTGATTTGTGTAGGGAAATTGGGCCAGATGCTCTTCCTCTCTCTGAAGCCTTTGCTATAAGTGACCAAATGTTATCTGCACCCATTGCCCTAGACTGGGTGGAGTACAATGTGAGGGATAACCAGGGTGAGCTGTAGAACTTATTGCATGTTTGTAAATACTCTACTTACTGTGAACAATAGTTATTATTTTATAACCTGGTAAAGGATTATTGAATTTAAACATCTCTGTTTCTCTCGGTTCTAATATTTTTAAGTTTCTTCTTCTCTTTGAAATTCTGGTGCAAAATTGTTTTCTATTGGAAGGGATTTGCAATCACTACACTGCCTCCTTGTTTACTGATGGCATAGTAGTCGTTTTGTTATATCTGCTCTACCCAGAACAGACCATCAAGCCTGTGTGACCCACTTTTATGGTGTTTTTCAGGTAACTTTTGAAAGTTTTATTTTGTGTTTTTGATGAACTTTTAGCATGATTGAATATTTGATAGAAAGATGTTTTTAAGTTTCACTATGGGGACTGCTGATAGTGTCATAATATTTACTATTGAGAATATATTAAGTAATATTTCTATCTTTAGGTATTTTGTATTAAACTACAGTACAGTATATTGGAATTCACTTTTACTGAACTTAGTTACAGATAGATTGCTAATGGTGAATGTAAATAAGTAACTTAATGTTATACTGTACATAAAGTATTTTTTCAAGTGCCAATAGGGCTATAGTAGTGAAAATATCTTGCTGGCAGTTTTGTGATGTAAAAATTACACAACCAATATTTTCCAAGTCTCCACAAATCAAGTGTATTAAGCTTAGTTAATTTTAACACGAGTCTCTCCACCCTTGTTGAGAACTATACCCAACTCCTATGAGATACTACAGGTATAGGTAAAGTTGTCCAGGTACTCATGTGGACAAACTTTGTTCCTGCTACACACCAGAGGCAGTAATGTTTTTTACAACTTTATAAAAACACAGTTGCAAAATAATTATCCTTATTGGGTGGCTGTAAACACTTCAATAGGACAGTTGCCACATGTGGAGAATTGGTGACAGGTTTGTGCCAAATAAAATAAGTGTACTGTACATCATATACTTGCTGCCACTTACGACATCTGATCTCCATTTGTGACTTTTATCACAGACTCTCTGGTGATGGTATATATTATCTGAAGTTTCATTAAGTATCAGTTCATGAGACAAATGTTAAAAACACCCAGACAATAAATCCAGACCACTTTACATTAAATTGAATTGGGTGTATTTGTTAGGCTCAAAGAACAAATTATCTAACTGAGCGACAAAAAACAACGGAATGTGGATGTTGGAAAAAACCTACAAGCAAAATTTCTCTTTCTGGTTATTTTGCTGTAGTCAATGTGTTGCAATATTTTTTCACTCAATGAGCGAATTTGTTGTCGAGTCTAACATATCCAGAAAAACTAGTTAAGAGACATTGTTACGTCAATACAAGTAACCTTATGATATGTAGAAACTCGTAATATTGCATCTGTTTACTTCTTGTCTTCGTGTAGTAGCTAGTCCAACACTGATAAATGGGCAGGCAGGGTTTAATCCTAAGGTACCCCTTCCACTTTCACTAGTGACTGGGGACTCTTTGCTGGGAACCCGTCAGAGTTGGCAAGAGATTTAAAACATTTCATCCACTGCAAAACCCATTGGAGATGCTCTAGACTAGTAATGATACATGACTTTTCAAGAACTTTTTATAGTTTTGTCATAAAAGATAACCGATTATTTCTTAAAGTGCTCCTTACGGTCAGGCTGAGGGAGAAGCATACTGTAACTGTAGCTATAGGCTCTGTTAAAGATTTCAGTGTAACAGTTGCAATGCAAAGCCACAAATCTATCAATGCAATTACTTATAAGTTAGTGTAAAAAAAATAAATAAACATTTGGTAATAAACAAAGATTTGTGTTTTTTTATCATTTTATTCCAATGTAAATATACATTTTTTTGGCTACAAAATGCATCTTTGGGATAATCTAAAAAATGAACTAGAAAACAGTTTTATATATAACCCCCCTAACAGTTTTTCTGCTCTTGTAAATACTGGAGCTTTTGTGAAAGGTTTCCTAAGATACACTATTGTACACTTCCAACTTTACTAAACAATATACACATCAATTTTGTCCAAAGTGTCCAATCAATTTGAATTCCTAGTTAGTATCGCTTTTTCATATGTTTATACACTTCTTACACACTTAGATAATAGTTTTGTACCCATCTTGACTTAACAACAACTATCTTACAATCTACTTCCTGTCTCTTCGACTTTTGCTCTTTTCACGTAATTCAAGTTTCTTTTGTCTTCTAACACTTGCCAGAATGTTTTCAAAATTTGTGGTCTTCTTCTTTGCACTGCCCTTTGGTCCAGCACTGCCTGGGGTACGGCGAGGTGTGAATCTCACAGAGGCAGGTTCATCATCAAAGTCAAATCCTGAAGTGTCAACTCTGTTGGTTGGAATATTTTTTTCAATTATAACCCTTTCTCATAAAATATTTTCCCCATGAGTCTGTTATTCTTTTACACCACCTCCACAATTACAAAAGACTTGAAAAATTACACAAATTTAAAATTACAGTAAATATATCATTATTCCCTTCATGTGCATATCTCATATACTGTACCACCAGCCATCATCCCTAAAAATTCTCTAAATATTTACCATCTAGTAAATACTAAAATTACAGGAAAAAAATGCAGGTGCAACTACAAAAACTAAATCGTGTGGTTGTCTTGAGATGAAGCCTTGAAGAACTATAAATACTAGAACAAAGTAACAAGTGTCATTTCACTACTAAATATTGTACTATACAGTTTATTTAATTGCACATAAAGAATTATTACAGCTCTTCCGATTCTATCTCTAAAAACATAAGAAATACATAACATTGCTTTTAACATACTTTTCAGCCAACTCTTCCTTCTCACTCTCGGAATCACTTTGGGATGGTGTAGGAAGGCGTCTGCCCAAACCCCACTTCCATTTTATAGAGAGATTTCCATCCTTTGCGAGGGCCTCATAAAGTCTAATAATCTCAGAGGGACTCGGCTCAATACCTGAAACACAACAACATACACAATTTGTTTAAAATAAATTCATTTATATCTCATTAACTCTTTCAATACGTCTACCTATCCCATTCCGTGTGATATCATTATAATTAAGGGGTTGTCATCATACTTGAAGGCTAAGTCATCATATTCATAAATGAAAGGGTTCAGGATGTTGTATGTTGGGGTTAAAGTTAATGAAAACATGTTGGGAAGCTGCTACAACACACAATAAAAGAAATAAACAAAAAAAAATCAATACAAATCTGTCAAGTTAAAAAAATCCTGGCAAGTACATATGTGACCCACATAATCTGCACAGCCTAGGTACACAGCTGCTATGCATAAGGGAGAACAATTGTGGGGTAACACAGGTCTTGGAGGAACTGAGACACCTGATTGTTATCTGAGTGATGTTTCAGTATGCAGAGCTTTCATAATGTCATATCTCGGGAGGTATTTAGTAGTAATCGGAGCTCCTTTCAAGCATACGTTAGGTTAAATCATCTACCTGAGAATTGTCTTAAGTGTCATGCAATCTAACTTAAGTATTGCTGACTGAGAAGAAATAATCACAGGCAACACCTACCATACACAGTCTTCGTAAATTCCTTTTGGACTTCTTCGTCACTACAGTCTATATTAAAGTCTCCCTGTTCCATGGTTGTTCCTGCATTTGACGGGTTTTTCTTCCCCCAGTTACTAGAAGCACAGCTGAAAGGTAAGATGAAGGTGAAGTATCAGACCTGGGGTGACAAGAGACTCACAATGGTATGAAGGAAGCAATAAATAATTTGTGCTGTACATAAATAAATCAAATCTAATATAATGCTTCTTTATAGATTTTATTAAGCTAGTTAGTCTTGTATCGTCCATGAATTTATTTCGTTTTCATAGCTGGTAGTGTTCTTTTAACATGAACTAATTCAATGTTTTTGAACCTGGATTTGTATTCGGATTTCTTTTGTGTTGGCCGTCAAAGATTATTAGTTAATCTTCCTGAGAAATAAACGTTTTAAATATTTAATACAATTTATTTACCGAATTATATGAAGATTATAATTATTTACATACATATAATACATCACGTTCTGGTTTACGTAATGGTAAATACCAATGAAAACAATGACAAATTAATGATAACGTAAAGTTATATTAATTTAGTGTAATTTATTTTACTATCGAAATTAGTCCTAATTTTTTCTTCATATTTATGATAAAATGAAGTTGCAGCGTCTGGACACAATGTGCTATGTTGAAAATAAACATGGCGACTACATATTCTCTTTATCTCTTTTCTTAAAAGCAGATAATACAACCTACACAATATTAAATAAACCTACACCAACGAACATTATGGTGATCTGGTTACGTTAGGTTTCATTTTGTATGGTCTGCCTTCTAAAAAATATCATGATTGAGGCTGACTGACTGTGGTCGTGGTACTTCTTCAACACTGTGACTGCCGCGTTATCATGGTAGAGTAATCTTCACTAACTGTCAACCAAGAATTACTGTGATTTACCGGGTGATTTACGTCGGTGTGATTACCACAGACTTTACTGTGTATCTGAGTAATGTCGGGCTACACTCAAGAGTATATACAAGAGAAACTGACCAAGGAACTGGAGGCTACTCATGTAGTAAGTTAACTTCCCTTTAAAGCAACAGTTTTAAAGTGTTAAAGTAAATCTTAACTGATGATGAACAAGCCATTTAATTTTTCGTTGTTGTCGTCGTACTGTGGCTGCTGTTCCTAGTTTAAGATTATAGTTTACATTTAATTTTCTAAAAGCATGGAAGTTTTGTTCTTGAGTCTTGCTGCTAACATATATTACTCGTCTTTCTTATAACTGTTGCATGGTAGTTATCAAATACTATATATCGGGTAAAGGTGGATGAGACAGTTAGCTCCAGAAATAATATATGAAATTGAACCAAAATTTCTGGAGATACTATTTGCATGATATTGAACTCAAAAATGGAAGTGAGAATGCACAGAATTCATTGGAATCTGACCTAACCTACCTAACCTAACCTTACCTCCCTATCCTAACCTTACCTACCTACCTAACCTTACCTACCTAACCTTACCTACCTAACCTTACCTACCTAACCCAACCTTACCTCCCTAACCTTACCTACCTAACCTAACCTTACCTACCTACCTAACCTTACCTCCCTAACCTAACCTACCTACCTAACCTAACCTATCTACCTAACCTAACCTTACCTACGTAACTTTACTTAACCTTACCTAACCTCACCTAACTTCCTAACCAGTGCATTGTCGTTTTGATTTTCATGCTGTCATCCAAAGAATATCTCTAGAAAAAATTATTGAATTAATTCCATATAAATCGTAATGAATATGCCCCATGAGATCATCGTTCATTTCTTAACATGTAAACAAAGACCACGGACGCTCCCAAATAACAGCCGATGTGAACCAAAATATGGTCACCACGGGAAATCCAACGATGCCATGATTACAATAAATATTTCTTTCTTTCCCTTTAAAGGATATAGAGACGTGAAATTACTGCCATATGATCAGTGTTTGTAGTGGAGTGACTGTGAATGTATGTATAGCTATGGGAGGAAAGTGTCTACCTGAAGAGTTAATAGATCTATCCCAGGCCAGGCATGTGTTATGTGAGGAAGCTTGTTGTGTGTTGTACCTTAGGCCAAGGTTCATAAAACTTAACATAATAGTTTTGTTTTCATACACTGTAATAGAGGTTAGGAGAACATACCTACTGTAGCTGCTGAGGAATTTTCAGTGCTGTAATGACTTTCAACTTGTTATTACAGATGAATGGAATAAATTAGGTGCATTCTTATAGGCTTTCAGAATCTTTTATACTGTACCAGGAGATACTTTATTGTAACTAATCAGTACTGTACAGTCCTTCTCAATAATGGTTGGGGGTTCTGGGTGCTACTAAGGCCCTTAGTTGATTATAAACATGACGACTTCTGCTTCCTTGCATATTGAAGGCTTACTACACAGTACCCTACATTGTGTTGTATCCACACTGTTCTTTGCAGATACAGTAGTTGCCTATAGGACCCACTTTCCTTCACATATTTTATATAAAAAAATTGCCAAGATGTTACATTTCAGCTGGCAAGGGTTGAAGTAGCTACATGTACTGGGTACTGGTCAGTTCTGAAGCCCTTAAAGAATCCAGGTCACGCTATGTAGTGGGAGAAGTGTGTAAGGTAATTAGATATAGACAGAAAATCATTTGCCATGTTCCTTAAACCAACTGATTTTTTGTCTGTTTCTAGGATGGTTGGGAGTGTTGAGAAGAATGAGGGACATGAAGCACAGCTCACCATCATCTTTATACTGAAAGAGAATTCTGTAGTGGCATCTCATCAACTCTCTTCTGTGATGTAATGCATAAGATTACATAAGCTTCTCGTGAAACTGACTGTCTCACCTTGTGTCTATGTGACTTACGGTACCTGAATAAGCCTGGAACTTAATTCTGTTTGTTTTTCACAAAAAAAAATTCTGTGACATTTATACAGTTAAGTTTTTTGCACTTCTGAATAAGTCATACAGTAGCTACATTCATATAGATGTTGTATTCTGCTTTGTAATTGCAGTTTCTTGATATTCAGAGATATATTCAAACATATTAGTTCAAAACTTTAGAAAATGGGAAATCTAGTTATAATAACTCTTTTGGGAGTTTTCTTGAGATGGTGTGTGTCACTCTATCCATACTCAGGTGCTGGTAAACCTCCAATGTTTGGTGATTATGAAGCCCAGCGTCACTGGCAGGAAGTGACAGTTAACTTACCGGTTAAAGAGTGGTACATGAACTCAACCAACAATGATTTACTGTACTGGGGTCTGGACTACCCCCCTCTTACTGCATATCATAGTTACCTGTGTGGACTTGTGGCAAGAAAACTAAACCCCAGCTTTGTTGAACTGCACAAATCTCGCGGTTACGAGAGTTACGAACACAAGCTGTTCATGAGGTACACCGTCTTTGTGGTAGATCTGTTGATATACATTCCTGCAGCTTACATGTTCCTCTGTGCCCTCTCTAGTATTCCCCCTAGAAGGAAGTATAGGAAACTAGAGTATTTGTCTCTGATCCTTTACCCAGGATTATACCTTATAGACTATGGTCATTTTCAGTACAATAATGCATCACTTGGGTTTTTTGTGGGAGCAGTTGCTTGTTTGATAAAGGGTCGAGATTGTTTGGGATCAGTTTTGTTTTGTTTAGCCTTGAACTATAAACAAATGGAGTTGTATCATGCTCTCCCAATCTTCTTTTATTTGTTAGGAATATGTTTCAAACAAGGAAGCATAATGGGATTTATCTTCAAGATAACTAAGATTGGTATCTCTGTTCTTTTAACTTTTGGTATTATTTGGTCTCCTTTTCTGTCTGACACAAAAGTGCTGTTACAAGTTGTTCATCGCTTATTTCCCCTTGACCGAGGGTTATTTGAAGACAAAGTGGCCAGCTTCTGGTGTAGCATATCAGTCTTGGTGAAGCTGAAGAAACTGATTGATAATAATAACATGGCTTTGATCTGCTTGCTATCCACAGTAGTATGCATGATTCCATCAAGTATACACCTCTTTATAAATCCCACACCAAGACACCTGCGCTATGCCTTAGTTAACGGGTCATTTGTTTTCTTCCTGATGAGTTACCATGTTCATGAGAAGAGCATCCTGCTTGTAGCAATACCTGCCTGTTTGATCTTTAGTGAGGAACCCTTCATGGTGACCTGGTTCTTCATTGTGTCCATTGTCAGTATGCTGCCTCTTCTGGTCAAGGATGGTCTGACAGTTCCTATGGTTGCTCTGACAGTTCTTTTGTATGCCATATTACATTTTAGACAGAATTCTGGGAGCTCCTCACATTCAAAACCATCCACCAAGAATCCATTTTGGATATGGATAAAAAGGACCTTCCGTCTCTCTCTGGCCGGATTTTTTTCCCTGACTGTTGTGTCTCTGACCATGACTCCACCACCCAGGCTGCCAGACTTGTTCCCAGTGCTCCTCTCTGTTTACTCCTGTGTTCACTACTGTCTCTTCTGTCTCTACTTCCATTTCTGCCAGTTTACTGTTAAGTATAATAAGCCTTCATCATCTAAAATGAAGACAAACTAGATAATACAAACTGAAATAATGTAACCACTTCAGATAATACAAAATTGCATATGACTGTAATGTACTTAAGATAAATCAGAATTAAATATGATAGCAACTAACTCCACTACAGTTAATTAATCCAAAAGATACTACTCGGTATGATAACAGTGAGATCAGATTATTAGAAATACCGTAGAGGAACTTCTTGCTCAGAACCTGTCACCAGTCTCCTAGGGTGTGCATTTAGAATTTTGTCACCCCAGGTACAATACTTAAACTAATCTCTAGCAGTAGCTGGAGTATAAAATCTTGGCAAATAAAAATAGTACTGTACTTACACATTAATGCTATATATGAAACTCTCATCATTGGTAGCAAGACTATTGCAGTAGAGCCATAACATTTACAGTTGTCTAGGAACAGAATTGGCTCTTAGACTGCCTGCCAGCATTGAGCAGTGCCTCCTGATTACTCCCAATAAACCCAGATATAAAAGATTTTGAGAGCCTTGGCCTGGTAGACCCTCATGCCTGGACTAAGAAGCCATATCCCAAACCATTGTTCCTTTTCTGTCCTGTAATACACTTATAGTTTGTATTGTTTGGTATAGTATATGAATATACAGGAGCTATTATGCAAATGTTATTAGAATTCCTAAAATTTAATGAAAAACAAATGAGAACTGTGCAGTGAATTATACTGTATGTATATATTTAATATTTAGGTGAATTTTTTTTTATCGTATTAATTAGTGCGGTATTTACATTACTGTATATGATTTGAAATAACCAGTATAACCTTTCTTCAAAAGTTATTCTCCTTTGTCCAAATACTGTATTATTTTGCCTATTTGAAATTCATTTAGCAGAATTCTTTGTCTCCCTCTAAACATAACATACCTAACACATGAACCTGGAGATTTGGGCTACAAATAGACCCCTGGCAGCATAGTAAATGGGATAGTCTTCAAAACTTTGGATAACAATATGTGATTACTGATGGTCATTGTAGTCTTATTTCATCTACACTACAATTGCATCTGGTAGCTAACTGTACTGTGTCAACTCAGAGTCTCTTAGTATATTTGCTGGCATCCTAACCTGACCTGATGTGACTTAGCTACCAGTATTTTAATCTAGCTTGACCTAACCTAACTCTCCCTAACCAAATATATACGAACCTGACATTCCTATTTCTGTATAATTTGTTGTTTGTACAACTACTTACACTGATATGCCTTTGCTACTCTCTCACCTGTATTCTTTGTTACTTGTGGTGATAGTTCCTACAAAATGGCTTGTAATTTTTTAAACATTCTAATTTTGTAGTTGAAATTAGTGTTATCTGTTTTGCTTTATCATGTCAAGCATTGTTCATTTTTTTTTATTCCAGTGTGTGTGAAGATGTAAAGAGGAGTACAGTAATAGCTAAGATGGTTAGAGGAAGATTTTCTCATTCAAGTTTCCTCAAAAATTTGTAAACAGGTATCATAGACTGGGTATGAACTATCGATTATATTATACAGGGGGTGAAATAGTCTCTGCTCAATGGGGAAATACTATGTTGAAACTTTTTATAAGAGAAGAAACAGTAGTAGGTGTGTTTATTCCAATTTTTTTCATTAAAATGTGAACCGTACAGCCAGTCAGTGCTTCATATTCTCCTGTACTCTTTAGAAGACCATATATGTGTTTCCTTTACTGTAGGGACTGACCAACCAACCTGTATGTACTGTGCTGTATTTATGGAGGACCAATGTGTGATGGTACAGAATTACAGGTCGAGTATTATATAGTATGTGTTTGGGGAGATTTTTTAGGAGGTAGACCCACAGTACTTAAGGTATAGATGTATTATTTCACTATAAAAATGTACAAGATAATACAGTCATAGGATAGTTCATGTGGGGTATTTCTTCTCTCTCACACACACACACACACACACACACACACACACACACACACACACACACACACACACACACTAAAAAAAATTACCCACTAATTCACTCAAAAGGTTAAACACATCAGCTTTTGTTTGAATAATTCAGATCTTTTGTGTTGAAAATACTTTAAACTAAAAAGATATTGACCTAAATATAAGATATACATTCATGCCCACTTTAATTAGTATACACTCCTGAGATGTTGTCGGGCTGATGGTAATGTTGAGGAGACCAAAGATATGAAAGATACAAGTCTGCTCTCTAGGTCACTCTGTATTGTATTATATTTACAAAGTTGACATGAAGTTTGTTTTGAAAGGTTTACTTCTTTTGATGCTTATTGTTACTAAATAAAACAAGATAACTTTTATTTTTTTCTGGAGATTGTGTTGTTGGGATTTTATTAATGGTACTTTTAATAAGACCCGATATCAATGTACAAAGTTTGTATTTTATGATAAGAAATATGAACTAATTATTAATAAAGTTGTTGTTTTTCTTTCACCAGTGCCTTTGATATTATTTAATTTTCCTATCAAGATGAGATATTTTATTGATATATTTTCCAATGTCCTTTTTTTTTTTCATAAGCTGTTTTATTTGAGTGTGGGGAATATATTGTAATGGCTACCTCCAGTGGTTAAAATGAAGAACAGTTCAATAGCTGACTACAGAAGTTGATAATGTTAAAATGACACAAGGCTAACCTTTTCAACACCAACAATAACATCTGGTTGTAGGGAATGCCACAGTTTAGGTTGATTGAGAGAGTTAAAAAGAATTCATTACTGAGGATTATCTTGGATATATCATGAATTATATTATATTTCCTGATGATGATAGGGTATATTAGATACAGTCTGTGTGTGTGTGTGTGTCTTATGGGTGAATATATATTTATAAACCCACTTCTAACAGATATTTATAATCGATGGTCTGATGTCTCAAAAAGTATGAGTGACCATTACAAATCCTCAGTATCTCTGTCAACAATGATGAGTGAATCCTCTTCCAACACTTTCAACCTTCATATTTTTTTAGTGTGAATTCTTAAGGTCAAAAGGTTACAGGTTTGAAGGTCATTGGCTGGGTTGAAACTCTCAGATAATATTTTAGTTTATATCTGAAATAGATTTTCTCCCGTGGGAATTATACCTGACATTTCTAGTTCTAATTTGGTATTTTGCTACATCATCTGACATCCAACAGAGGTTTATCCCTGCATTTAATATAAAGGTCAGTGCCATGGGGTTAAAGGTCACACAGCCAGCTTTAACCTCTTCACTACTGGATGCCTCTTATATCTGTGGGGTTAAGGTGTTACCTCTAGATTTTTAGGAGATGATGTTACCTTGAAAATTTTTTTACTTTCACGAGGTACTGTTCTGCATGGATATCCAAAAGCAAGGAACATAAAGGAACAAACAACAATGGTAAAAAGCAAAGAAAAACAATATCATGGGGAAAGTAAATGACAACACGATGGGAACAAAATAGAATAAATTGACAAAAAAAAATCGTGTTTACATTTTCGTTCCTATTTCTTCTGTCCAATTCTACTTTAAGGTAATCAACTGTCATCAACTTATGAATCTGAAGCCCACAATTTTATATTCCTAGATGAATCAGAACTAATAAACACACTTTGGATAATATCAGTAAGTAACAAGTTTTAGTGGCTTAAAGTAGAAGGTATCAAAAAGTGTGTTTTACAAAGCCATTCTTCTAATACAAGTTTTTGTCTTTTTTACACAGGGTGTGGAGGACCAGAGTGATGGATGTGGGGCCAAGTTTAGTGTGGTGGTTGTCTCCCCCAAGTTCACAGGCAAACCTCTCCTCCAGCGACACAGGTAAGAAGACAGGTGTACATAATAACTCAACCCCCCTCCCCCTACCCTCTCCCACCTCCACACACGCCACCCTCTCCCCTCCACACACACACTGCCTCCCACCTCCCGCCACCCTCTCCCACCCACCCTGCGCCACCCTCCCACCTCCACACCGCCACCCTCTCCCACCTCCCTGCCCTCTCCCACCCCACACACACCACCTCTCTCCCACCCCACCCCTCCCACCCCACCCCCCCCTCCCTCCACACACCCACCTCCCACCCCCTCCCTCCACCCCACCTCCTTCCACCCCACCCCACACCCCACACCCCACACACACCCCACACCACCCCACACCACCCCCGCCACCCCACGCCCACCCCACACCCACCCCCACACACCCCACCCCCACACCCCCCGCCACTACACGACACCCCACATACCCGCCACCCACCCCGCCACACGACACCCCACGCCACACACCACCCCACGCCACCCCTACACGACACCCCCACGCCACCTACACACGACTACCCCACCCCGCCACCCCACACATACCCTACACACGACACCCCACACACACCACCCCACGCCACCCCCACACGCCACCCCCCACACACGACACCCTACACACACACACAAACACCCACAGACACAAATAAATCTGAAAGCAGAAAAATGGCAATACTATGCTTACATACATACATACATACATACATACATACATACTATACATACATACATACACTATACATACATACATACATACACACTATACATACATACATATGAATAACTGATTACGTTGTCTCCCTTGAAATGATGATGGATTACATGGCCACAGGTAAGGAACTGGTACAGGTGTGACTATTTATATTTCTGAAGCGTGTGTGTGCGTGTGAGGGGCGGTGCTGGGCGTGCCTGGTATTGTTCATTAAGCTCCTGCTGGTATTCGCAGCTTAGGTGTGGCATAGTGTAGGGGGGGGGGTGGTATACACACACACACACACACACACACACACGAGTAAAGTTACCAAGTGTTAATCAACAGACCCTTGTGTGGCGGGTGAGTACAGTGTGGTGGTGATCTGGTGGTAGACGGGGCGGTATTTCCGACGTCGCAGTGTAGTGTAGAGGGCAGCAGCAGCGGACGATAATAACATCTCCAGGGAGTGACCGCAAACGCCTGGAAGCAGTTTCTCAAAAGGCTCGTGGGTTTATTATTATTATTTTTTTACCCTTAACTGTGAATATAACTCACTAAGTGAAAAAATATTAATTAATGTCTTTAACTGAGAATATAAAAACGTATCTAACGGATTCATTTAAGTTACGACACAAGGATAACTTTTCTTAGATTCGTATTCTCTGAGTTTCTCCCACCACCTCTCATTTCCCTCTCTTCCTCCTTCCCCGTATTGTGTGATGCAAGAACCCACCTGACGCAAATATATACGCAACAACGGTAGACAGAATAGCTTCGGAATTACTGTCCTTGTGAATCTAGTGTAGGTAAAGGTGTCCTCTTATCTCTCAGCTGTGTGTGTGAGGTGGGCCCCGGTTAGGTTACTTTGGGGCCTGTTAGGTGTGGGGGTCCATTTGAACCAACACCCACCATGAGCCGGCAGGGACCTGAGTGGTGGTGTCCTCGACCAAGGTCACTCAGTAAAAGCCAAGTGGAATTTGCAATGTAGTAAAGGTGATAATCCTTAGGGTGGTGATGTGGTGGTGTGTGATGGTGGTGTAATAGTGGTGGTGTGTGTGTGTGATGGTGTTAGTGGTGGTGTGCTGTGTGTGATGACGGTGGTGGTGTTGTAGTAGTGCTGGTGATTATGGTGTAGTGTACTATAGTGTTGGTATTAATGGTTTGGTGGTGGTGGTGTGTACAGGTTCATTGGTGGTAGAGATATTCAACAGGTTATATAGTGCAGTTCAGTAGTGTCGTGTGCCAGACGGAAGAGCCTCAACACACACACACACACACACACACACACAGTCTTCACCCCACATTACCTCAGCGGCTCTTTAATGTTCACAGAGGTTCGTCGTTCCACCTTTAACAAACGGAAGTAAGGTGTGTTTTATATATATACCCGGCCACGTATACAAGGGGTATATATATATTGATTTCCTTACATTTATTCATCTCTGAGGATATATGTGGCATCATGAAGCCCCTTTCTTTAGAGGTTGAGAGTGTGGGATTCATAAGCCAAGTGGTAAGCGACGTATTATGTTGACTTTTTCACCTCTTGGAGTTTTCTGTTTAGATTTTCTCAGCCATTTGATTGATTTATGCACTATTAGGGAAAATCATGTAAATTCCACAACAACTCTAGCATTGTCTGTCTGTCTGTATGTCTGTATATGTACTGTATGTGTGTGTGTGTTTGAATGCATATTTGTTTGTGTTCGTAGTTCGTACCCTGTAATACACACACACACACTACACTGGTCGGTCGAGACAAGGTGAAATATGACGCCATTGTGAGCGGAAACGACAAGCATCTAGGCAGAGAATGGTGATAGTTCCTCCCTGCCTGTGATGACAAGAAGTGTTGATAGGGAGGAGATGCTGGAGGGGGGGGGGGTAACCATGTGGCATGGGGAGATTAAACTGTTAACAACTGGAGAATATTAATAGTGTTTTTAATTACTTGAATCAAATCTAAAGTTCCTAGTCTAATTTTGGTTAAGCTAATCTAACAGCAAATTAACCTGACCCAACCTAAAGTAACGGAACCAAACCTAACCTAACCTAGAAACTTAACTTGCATTCCCTAGAAAGACGAAGAGTGCGGGGAGATATGATAGAAGTATTCAAGTGGGTGAAAGGAATCAATAAAGGGGATATAGATAAAGTTCTTATAATATCCGAGCAGGATAGGACTCGAAGCAACGGATTTAAGTTGGATAAGCTTAGGTTTAGGAGGGAGATAGGAAGGAACTGGTTCACAAATAGGGTGGTGGACGAGTGGAACAAGCTTAGCAACTATGTAGTAAGTGCTGGAACGCTGGAAAGTTTCAAAAGGAGACTGGATAGATTCATGGATGATAGAGAGTGGTAGTAACTCTCGACAGGAGCTGCCATGCACAGGCCAACCGGCCTATTGCAGACTCCTTATTTTCTTATGTTCTTATGTTTAACTGAACGTAATGTACTGTATCGTGTACTTTAGGGGGTATCAAGAGTGGTGGTGGTTGTAGTAATAGTGGTGATGTTAGGGGTAGTAGTGGTGGTAGTAGTGGTTGTGGTGGTTGTCCTGGACACGGAGCTCATTTATGGTGAGGTGCATTAAGCGTATGGTGCAGAAGTTGACGGTGGAGAGGAGTGATAGCGGTAATGGTAGTTCCGGACTCCACCTTCCTCGCCTAAGTCAGGTGGGTTCTGTACTGTTTTCTCTCTGTTTCGTTCCTTTACAACAGTTGTCAATGTGTTTATATATCATCAATATCCTCCTCACTTAACTATTATTAATATTTATTTTATTTAATTATCGGTTTGTAAAAAAAATATAAGGAATGAGGAGAGAGAGGTGTAAATAAAAACAAAAATAATGTAACGTTGGCATCCTCGGGCGCGACAGGTTAACGGGGCCTTCTAAGTGTCGTCTTCAAACACTTCCTCTCTGGAGCCCGTGATGGGTAGGTGCTGTGTGTGTACTCTTCCGTGGAGGTGGACGAGTGTGAATTTGTCAGAGGCATTACGGATGTCTCTTGAAGGTGGGGGTGAAAAGAAATAGAGGAGTGTCTCTTCCTTAGGTGGTGTGTGTCTACAGTGAGTGGAGCCGTAGATAGGTGAAGTCACTATGCACGAGCCATGTCGAGTACAGTGTTTATATGGACAAGCTTATATCTTGGTTATTTTTGCCTTATTTCGCATAATTACTCACCGACTATATATACTGGATTGGATTCATGTGCTGCCCAAGAGAAGCCAAACTGACCGGGTACAGAAAAAAAATATGTGAAGCCAAAAAATGTACATCAAGATTGACTGTGGATCGTGTTTTGGTGTCATACTTTAATAAAAGAGGAAGCTTCCAGAGGACGCGATATACGACTGAGCTGTGTCGTAGGCCTGGCAGTGACGTCGACCACCTGCTGCTGGCTGGCTGGGCTCTACAGGTGCTGCCACATAACGGAATAACTGTCAGACTCCATGAAACTCCACAGCTTAACGCAGACTCATGCAGGAAACGAACCGAACAAAACAGTTTACCATGTGATTCGACAAAGCTGGGGGTGAGTCATTCAGTCACATCCTGCGTGAAAAAAAATCAAGACTGAGAGTTTCTGTAAAGAATACTTGAAAATTGTTCCAAATATTCGACGATTTCCAATATCTTAAAATAGACCATACTCTCAACGTAACTGCCATGGCGAAAAAAAAAAATCACGTACAAAAGTTCTCTCCCCGTAGTGAAACTGAGTCACGGGAACCTACCTACCCTCCCTGACTGGTGCGGGTGTGTGTGTTTTATTTCATCTGGGGTCGATACTGCTTCAGTTTAAGAGGGAACGAACCTTTGACCCCCGTCTGTACTGTATATTGAACCCTGCAGTGTCCAAATCCACGCTGAATCAATGCTAACTTACATAACATTACTGAATTAATGTTTATCTCTGTTAAAATATTATTGGTGACTATTCTGTAATGAAGACACCATAGACTCCCGTGTTATGAGTCCTGAAGCTGACAGAGACGTTGATAACAGTTGATAACGTTACTTTGGTTATCTCGTCAGTGAGTTGATAGTGTTGGTGACAGCACTGTGATGGCGGTGTTATCACGTATGATGCGTGTATTAATATAGTGTTACCAATGTATTAAAGTATAATGAGTAGCGTATAGTGCATGATGCTATTTAGTGTGAAGTAATGAATAATGTATGATGCTTGTGTATTGTATAATGGATGATGGGAGTGTGGGGTAAATGTATAATGACAGTTTTATAATGTACGATGGTGCTGATGGAATACTAATATATTCTACTCCTGTTACTGATAATGTCCTCTTTCATCATCTTCATCATAATGTTAGCAGTAGAAGAGTTATTATACGATTAGTTTATATTTCTCTAGTGTAACATTTATTTGTCATGTTTCAGGCTTGTGAACGGTGTGTTGCAGGAGGAACTCAAGACCATCCATGCATTTTCCATGAAGACGTTAACACCAGAACAGTGGGAAGAACAGCAGAAGTAGAGGCTCCTCATTAAGATTCCTCGACCCTATAGTGACACAATATGAAACTCATTAAAAGGGAAGTTTGAGTGAATTTTAGAACTATATGACTAAGAGAATTGTAACCATGGCAACAAGTAATGAGGGTGGTGAGGTGAGGTCCCGTGTGGTGAGGGTGAGTGCACCAGGGAAGGTCATCCTGCACGGTGAACACTCGGTTGTGTACGGTAAACAGGCAGTGGCTCTCAGTCTCAATCTCCGAACACATCTCACACTGACCACAGGCGGAGATGCTGTCACTCTGGATCTACCTGATGTTGGAGTCAGTGAATCTTGGACGATGAAAACCATGCACGACCTCTGGAGCCGACTGGGGTGTAAACAGGAATCCGATGCAACGCCTCTGTCGGCAGACCAAGCATCCCATTTACGTCAATTCCTTGGTATTGAGGAGGAGGTGACCTCTCCACAGAAGCTGACTCTCTTTACATGTTTGCATCAGTATTTATCTATCTTACCCTGCCCAGTAGCCCTCACCATCTCCGTTAAGAGCCAGTTACCCACAGGTGCTGGTCTGGGTAGTTCAGCAGCTTATGCTGTATGTTTGTCTGCAGCTTTGCTCCACATATCTGGTAGTCTGAACCCGTGCCAGTTGTCCTCTCCTGCAGCTGGTGACGGTGGCACTGATGTTACTAATTTTAGTAACCTGAAAAATGTTTGTAATTGGGCGTACAGATGTGAACAAATAGTTCATGGGACGCCATCAGGTATAGATAATTCCATTTGTACTTATGGAGGGGCAGTCAGCTTCAAATGTGGCAATAGCTCACCTTTGCAAGTGCCACCATTACAAGTGCTTTTAGTCAATACAGGAGTGCCACGCAGCACAAAGGCACTGGTGACGGGGGTTCGTGAGCGGCGAGAGCGACTGATGCCAATTGTGGACCCAATCCTCGAGTCACTTGATGTACTTGCCGACCGTGGTCTCCAAGTGTTGCGTCAACTTGCTTCTGCAACAGATGACAATGAACGTGACTCTGCCTATAACATACTTCATGAGTTGGTAGATATAAATCAAGCACTACTGTGTGCCTTAGGTGTGTCACACGCAAGACTGGATCGCCTGATGAGCATCGCAAAATCTCACAGCCTGAATGCCAAGCTGACTGGTGCAGGTGGTGGTGGTTTCGGCATTGTTGTATTAGGACGCGCCACGCCTGAAGATAAAGTCACTGCTTGTCGCAAGGAACTTGAAGATGCAAATTATCAAGTGTGGACAACTTCCCTAGGTGCACCTGGTCTCACTTTCCACCAACCTCATTGACTGCTGCTGGACTCTTGTAACAACAATCTCGCTTCATTCATGTCTAGTTAACACAACAGTTGAATATTTATGGTATTAAAACTTACTAGTGCAGTAATCTCTAGTTCATGCATCAATATCCACTCTGCCAGCTCTTATGGCTGTGTTTACATACTGTGATAGAACATAGAAGTCTCAGAAAATATGTTAACTTAAAATTGTAAAAAAAAAAATATTTTTCAATTCATGTATAACGGAGTTTCTGACGGTCTTGTTGTTTACCGATGCTTTCCTTAATTAATATTAAATGTCATTAGAACTTTACTGTATATGTCTGTGTCCACAAATATAATAAACTGAATAATGATAAAAGTGATGTTTCAGTATTAGTCATGGATGATAAGTTTTGTGTATAGTTACAGAGAATCATGGCATTGGTGGAGACTTATCACTCCAGTATAACACTAAATTATGCATTATACAGAGGTGCTACTCAGTCTACGGCAATAAAATCACTAATATCATTTCTGTATTTAGCCAAAACCTTCAATATTTTATTTTATATGATTTGTACAAGGTGAGTTACTACAGTATAATGATAAAGGTATATCCAGATGCTTTATTTAGAATCAAATTACTGTACAATTAGAGATTTAAGTACACAATACAGTACATTTACAGTTATTACCCCCGTAGTGACAGTAGAGTACAGTATTAAAGTTGGTGGTTTAATCTAGACTTAAATTTAGATGTGTCTTTCAAACTCTCTTTTTTTTTCTAAGTCACTTACACTTATTAGTCAGCCAATAACTGCCTCAGTGTCACCTGTATAAACACCTAAATCAGTATCTTCAATGGCTGGATGGTTCAGTAGTCGACAAAGTAAAAACACTCTTTATGAAAGTGAGAAAGTAAATGGTAACTTATTTGGTAAAGTCTTCAGTTACGTGGATAGTATTGGCTGCTGAGGAAACAGTAACCGATTCTCTGTTTGTTTCTTCGTTTTTTTTTTACTTTAGAATTCTACATAACTGAAGAGGTAAGGTACTGTAGAAAGTTAAAAGTTTCTAAATACACAGATGGACAAATTAAAGTTAGGCTGTAATATTAGTGTGACAAATGAGTTATGTAGTGTGAAGTGAGAGGTTGTGTCGACTATTTTATGTCGGTACAAGATGAACCAAGTCCTACAGTATACTGTATAGATAGTGATGTAACAGTGAGTGATATGGATTAATGGAAGAAGGAAAGGCAAGCTTGAAATTTACTATATTTCATGTTAGACCAGATAAGGGAATGATGACAAGTTCCTAATAGTCTATAGTCTGTGTGTATTAATAAGGGGTAGGATATATTTCTGGGACATTTTAAATGGTGAAACAAAATGAAGAAAGGTTGTTTTAAAGGGAAATGGAGGACCTATATTTATATGTATTTTTTATTTTATTTATTTGTTTATTTTTTTAGGGCTGGATTTTTCCAGAAAAGTGAGGCCAACGGGGGGGGGGGGGATGACCCATCATTCTCTATGGTGAAGACTTTCCTGACAGATCAATATGAATATTTTATTAATAAAAATCATCATGGGTGCAAGAAAACAATACAATATATGCTTGCAAATGATAATAAACAGTAAATTAATTCAACCAATGAATGCTCAAGATATTTGTTTGTTTCCCACTATGAATCTGTATATATATGAGACTTTTGTTCAATTGTTTTGAAAATACAATGTATTATATATTCTTTTTTAATCGCAGTGAATACATGAGACAAAACTTTCTTCTTAATAACACAATAAACTTTTAAAAACGAATGCGCCGCCCGGGAATCGAACCCGGGTCGCAAGAATGGGAATCTTGCATGATACCACTACACCAGCGGCGCCGTTAACAGAAGCAACTGTTGTATTGAATATGATCTGATTATTTAATTATCTCCATTTGAAGGAAGGATAATTATGTTTTAATTGTTTTTATAACAAAAATGAAAACAATATTTAATTATCTAATTACTTAACAAGAAATTGCGTTTATTAAATGCGCAATATAATGCTAAAGAAAACACATCCACTGTATTGGTATTTCTATTATACTCTGCCTTAATGTTATACAATACCATTAAGCATATAAATTCTAACAACATAATCCTATTGTTGATAATTCCTGAAAATAAAGTTAGCATATTGTTGATAAGAGCAAACTAGTAAGTGAAATATTTCCATCTGCGTATTGTTAAAATTTTATGTATTTAAATATTTCATAAACTTTCACCATTAATAACATAATCACAATGATAAGGGTTCATTTAAAAAGGTTTATATATATATAATATAGAAATGATATTTACCATAACGTACATGTAAACAATGTGTCTCAATGGTTATATTGTATATGGCTTAGGCAAATTTTTATATTTTATCATACATAAAATTTGGTAATTTGTAATTAAAATATTAATAAATACAAACTGAACTTATAGAAATGATAATTTGTTCATCGTACAGGAGCATAAAACTTTCGCAAGTAAAACCAATTCGATTTATATTCCTGCAGTAAAGGAACAGTTGGCCAGGTCACACGTGGGGTCAGGCGTGTTAGTGCTGCTGCTCCTTAATTAAACACAAAAGGTCAACATAAAGGAATCAACAGCGGTATTTAATAAGGTAAATATTCACAACTTCGTACTCCATAGTAACCTTTAATTTTCAGTTAACACGGAGGCTCCGCTGTCTAATTAAGGGTTTGTTTTCCATTTTTTTTAAGGTGCTTTATATACTATGGCCCAAAACTGCTGAGAACAACGACAAAACTACTTTACAGTTTTCTTAATGAATTATGTCTGAATTTAAGTAGAAGTATACCTCTGAGTACTGATATAGTTTAGTGAGGTTTTTTCTTCAGTATGGTGAAGGCATTCATGGTCTTTTTGTTTTAAGGTAAATTCAAAGTCATTTATGTAAACTTAAAACGTGTGTAAATTACGAGTGCCGTTGCTGACATTGTGCAAGACTGAGAAAAATCTACCTAACCTAACCTGTATAAACACAATCTCTATGAACTACAAGTTTTGGAAGGTCAGATTCATTTAAAACACACCAAAGTACACTGGAAAAACATATTGGTCAACCCCAAAGGACTCGTGGCCTAAAGTAAAAATTTACCGAAATAACTTGCAAAGTTGAACCAGATTTTCTGGAGATACTCTTGCCTTGATGATGAACATGAAAATGGAAGTGAGAGTGCACAGAACTTATTAGAAACTGACCTAACCCTATCTGACCTACCTCACCTACCTAACCTACCTCACCTACCTAACCTGCCTCACCTACCTTACCTAACCTCACCTCACCTAACTTCCTAACCTTACCGTCATCCAAACAGCATCACTCGAAAAAATTATTAACACATGCAATCCAACAAAAATCATAAATACGCCCAATGAGATCGTCGTTCATTTCCCAACGTGTAAATAAAGACCGTGAATGTTTCCGCATAACAGCCAACGTGAACCAAAACATGGTCGCCACGGTAGATCCGATGGTGCCAAAATTACGGTAAAATTTTTTTTCTTCCAACAAGGACGTAGAGATGTGAAATTACTGCCATATGATCAGTGTTCACAGTGTTTTTACCCCATTATTTCCTCTTTCTCTTATGCCCTGCCCACTAACAAGTACTATATGATCAAGAAATTGGCTAAAAGAAAAAATACTACAATATTGTCACTTGGATTTTATTACTGTACTCAGTATCACCCACACAACATCTCCTGAACATTTGGTGCCATTCCATGAAGTCCTTCTGGTAGTACTGTAAGTATCTTTTCCACCTTTACTGGTTCGTTGTATTGACGGAAGTTTCTTGTTTGGGGTTTAACTATGTGTTTGTTAAGAGTGAATATGATACATACAGCTCGGACAAGAATTCCTTAGTGGTTTCTGTTGGATTGTATTTACTGCATAACATAGAGTTTACATAATTATAGATAATACAATAAATAATAATCTAAGGCATCCACCAGTTCTGGAAGAAGTCATCCTGTCATTCCAGACTTTTTGTTTTTTGTGGGGGCTTAATTGATCTATTTTCTTGTCAAAAGATCGAAGCCTTGTATAATTTTACGATTTACCGGACATGAGAATATTATCCCCATTTATTCTGTTTTATTCCGTCACAAAGGTACCAGTGTCAGACAGCCTCGTGCAACTAGAAAGTGACAAAGATGACGGACAAGGAATTAGAGACTCAACCAGTAAGTACCTGTACAGAATTTACTGAAGTGTTAGATCTTTAAATTAATCAATACAGGCAGGATGAGTGTCACATGTTTTTCAATAATTGTTGCAAAGTCCATGTACTGAACAGTTCCTTGGTTAGTTAGTTAGGTAGTGTGACCTTGATAAAAGAAATGTACAATCTTTGGGTAGTAATGATCCATAACATGTTTTAAATTATTCAAAATTATAAGATTACTTCCATTGACAAATTTTGGTTTAACACACACCCACTAACACATGTCCTGGGTTATTCCTGTTTTCATGATATCGGGTGTGAATTTTCGATGGTGGTAACAAGAATTCTAATGTTAAAGTTATACCTGTAACAGATGTCAAAAAAGAAGCAGAAAGACAAGAAGTACAGAAAGGGTTCAAATATCAAGAGTGACATGGATCAGATTCTCTCCGACCCAAGATTTGCCCATATATCTTCTGACCGGAAGCTTAGACATGTACCCAAGGAGGAGCGCAAAATCAAACTTGACAGCCGTTTCCATTCCGTACTGACAGTGAGTATACAAACAAACACATTTTCTGGTTTAAATTGTAAATCTTAATTCAGTGTTTCTCTTATGACAATATCAATGTAATTTGAATTCATTCTGGTTCCCTAACTGAAAAGGTCCAAGGGGATATATTCATGTCTGCTTATCAGTTTGTTGATAGATAGTAAGTTAAATCTGTATCTGTTTCACTCTATAGACAGACAGTTTATTCCATCTGTATCGGTTAATAGACATCATTATTAGTCCCTCTTTGCAGTAGTCTGATTACACATCATTTATTCATCTATATAGGATCACTGTTACTTATTTAACCCTTATCTGGCAGCTGTGAATTCCCAACTCCACCTCTTTATGGATGTGAAAAAATGTAATGCAAGGGACATGAAACATTTACTCATGATGGACGTCCCTACAGCTAACTTCAGCTGATAATGGCCTCTACTTAAGGTTTAAATTAGAAAAAATAAATAATTCTGTGATAACTACAAAGGAAGCGTACTTACTAATATTTGCTTAAACTTGGACAGGATGAGAAATTCTATGAAAAATCCACCATGGATCCACGTGGCAGGAAGGGTAACTATTCCACTAAAGAAGACCTACTCAAATTTTACCACATGTCCTCCGATGAAGACTCAAGTGACGAGGCTGATGAAGATGAAGAAAAAGATTCAAATGATGATGATGATGATGACAAAGTAGATGAAAATGTACAAGAGGATGATAATGATGATGATGTAGATGATGAAGTAGGCGAAGAAGAGGACAGTGATGACAAGGTGGTGGTAGATGAAGATGAACAGAATGAAGAAAATGGGGAAGACATACCCACTCCAGCAGAAGAAAGAAAGGGGGTGACATCAGACCAAAATCAGATAGAAGAGGACAACTTGCTTAATGAGGGTAGAGGAACTTTGTATTGTGTTGAGAGTTTTGAATATATATAGTTTAAAGTTTTCCTAGACTTCATACTGAGAGTTAATACTAAACATGGTGATTAATGCTCATTTTTTTTATAGTTACTAAAATGTCATAAAAAATCCTTTATATACAATTGTTTTTTTTTACTGTCGATAGTGAGATCTTGTTTTTCAGCCCAGTATGGAGAGGCATGAGGTGTTAATGTCATGTTCTGACTGATGAATTTTTGTGAATTGTCTTCTGAATGTACAAGTGTCTGGAATGAGTTTTATATCCAGTAGTAAAGATAATGAAACTTCCAAACCTAACCTAACTTGACCTAACCTAATCTAACCTAACCTAACTTAAACTTCCAAAGCTACAGAACTTATAGTTACACAACCATCTCACAGAAAACAGGAAAGAGAGAGAAGCAAAAGAAAGGAGTGAAATACCACGTGAAGTGCGGAGACGACTGCAGGACCTGAACCTAGACTATGCGAGAGGCGAGGTGCTGTTCTCAGACGACTCCTCGGACGACGACTCCACCACAACTGATGAAGACGACTACACCGAAGAGTTTGAGTGGGGAGAGTTAGACCAAGATGCCGTGTGGGATAATGATGATCGTGACGTGGAAGTGAGTAGATTTATATTTTATTTGTTTATCTGTCTGTCTGTCTATCTATCTATCTATCTATCTATCTATCTATCTATCTATCTATCTATCTATCTATCTGTTTATTTATCTATACAGTATATCCATTTATATATTTGTCTATCTATTTATCTATCTAAATATATTTCTGTCATATCTATCTACCTGTCTATCTTTCTAATATCTATCTATACATCTCTCTCTGTCTGTCTGTCTGTCTGTCTGTCTGTCTGGTATCTTTTGTTTGGGTTAGATAATTATAAATTTGTACTAAAAAAAATAATAGAGGAGTTTTATGGATAAGTTGACTTCATGACAATATATCCAGAAGTGGTGTTATTTCCACGTCCACTATAGAAGATTATGTTTAGAAGATCAGTATAAAAGTATAGATTTACTCCTGATACTCTAAAAGAAAAGAATTAGGAGATATAGAATGAAAGACATTTGATAATTAATACTGTACTGTACATTGATTCTGACAAAGCACCTCAAAGTGACCTGTAAGTAAACGTGATTTAAATGACTAATGAATGTCTGAGAATTACAAGCCCTTACAAATCATCTCCAATTTCAGGAAACATCTCGTATTGCCGTTTGTAACCTTGACTGGGACCGCATTAAAGCAGCAGATATTATGGTGTTGTTTTCTTCCTTCTGTCCAAGGGGGGGATCCATCAAGAGAGTTACTATATACCCCTCTGAGTACGGCAAGCAACGTATGGTGGAGGAGAATCTGACTGGACCACAGGAGCTGAAGTCTGTACCTAGTAGCGGGACGAAGGATACTGACCTCAACCTGGTAGATCTTGATAAACTTGAAAAAGGTAAAGTTGTTCATATATCTGACACAAGTGAACCATGTTAAAAGTATTATGTTAATATGTATAGTAGGGTATATTTTTTTTCTTGATTAGTTTTAGAATATTATATGATTGACTTGACATACTGAACTGTACTTGATCTTTAAGTTGTAACCATCTGCACCCGTGATTATCTATTTTGACATTGATAATCAATATTTTCTGACTTTATACCAGATTTAAGGCCTGTGTTTAACTGGGAAATGTTCTCCTTCAACAATAGCCTGTTTAGATAAAATAATGTAACGTTATCACCAGTGCAGTATATGCACGGTTTTACCTATAAAATTGAGAATGCTATAATGAACGAAACTCCTACAACGAACAGTATTTTTTTTTTTTTTTTTACTAATTGTTTTTTATTACAAGTATTAATGATATTCTTTATTTGAGGAGTTTAGATGCATATTTATGCACTTTTTTACAATTTTTACAATTTTATATTATATTTTTCAGTGTTAAGTGGTTGTATTTGGGGGCCTGGAACGTATTAATCCTATAACGAACGAATGCTATAACGAACATGGTTCTAGAACCAATTAGATTCGTTATAGCACTTTCTTTATTTAATGCAATAATTCTTATAGTAGTCTTTCTTCATTGCCAGGTGTTAATGGTTGAATGAAGCTATTGATTGAACATTAATAATAATTTGTAGGATTTTTATTTATTATTTTTTTTTGCTGTAGATAAGAACATGTTAAGTTGATAAACCTGTACTGAATACTGTACTTTTATTAATAACAGGTAGACTAGATGAAAATGCTGGAGCAACCAAGACGCACTATGAGGCTCTGAGACGATATCAACGTAATCGTCTTCGTTATTTCTATGCGGTGGTTGAGTGCAACTCTATTGACACTGCCAAAGTTCTCTATCAAGAGTGTGATCGAAAGCCATATGAGGGAGCTGGAATTCTTCTTGATCTGAGATATATTCCTTCAGATATGACTTTTGATGAGGTATGTGGGGATAGGTTTAACATTGATAATAATAAATATTAATGGTTTATTGAGAGAAATTACCAGCCAAAACTGAAAATACACAATGGAAAGAGATTTTATTTGGTAACATTGGGGGATAGGTCATTTAACAAAAGCTTTCATTACAAAAAAGAGAAGGAAACTACAGCAGGATGGTTGGTCTTGTTAACCTAATACAGATGTGGTGTTGGACAGCAGCACATGGACAGGATTTGTTCCAAGATGGTGTAGCCTGTGTGTCCCCTAAAGTGGTAGTAGGAGATATAATGAAGATCAGAGGGAGCTGAGAGGGCCAGTATACTGAATGCCTCTTAACTTGGATGAAATATTTTAGAGGGACAGGACTTGTTGCATTAGATTCCTTGATGAATGGCACATCAAAAGTATAGTTTAAAATTTTCTTTGTTATGTCAAGTTTCTTCAGAAAATAGCAAGGATAAAGAAGTTTTGACAGGAAAAAACAAACAAGATTTACAGGTTTTCTTTTAGTTAAGTCATATTACCTGTGCCTTATCCTGAAACATAAATCTTTATTCTTAGATAATTTTAAAATCACTTAGTTTGCTTTAAGTTTATATTTTTATTTATTTATGTACAGTATTAATTTTTTCCTGTTTTGTCAAGTTCAAGACCAGTTTATCTGATCATTCATATTTTTTGTCTACTGTACTTACAATAAACACTGCAGCTCTCTTCTCAACTCGGGTTACAGATGCCACATGATGTCTGTGAAATGGTTCCCAAGACATACGAAGTCAAGAATTTTACAACAACAGCTCTACATGACTCCCGACCCATCTTGACCTGGGATGAGACTGACCCTGAACGACAGAAAATTCTCTCAAATGCCATGAGTAAAGCAATGAAAGGAGGAGATTTAGATGATGGTTGTTTGAAGGTTAGTTAATGTAACCTTCAAGTTTTAAATTCCACACCTGTACAGTATTTATTTAAGTGAAGGATATTATCTGTCCTTCTCTCCCACTTTTTATATGTGCTAGATTGAGGGAAACAATTCTTAAGAAAGGAAGGAAATGGTAGAATAGTGTGAGATGATGTACAAAGCAACAAGGTGGTGAAACAACAACTAAGAACACACAGCAGATGCCTCATATTAATTTTTTTTTATTGTAAGTATTATGTCCTTTATATACAAGTACTGTACAGTATTGCATATTTGGATTTTTCTTTAGTCAGAGTTGGAGATACAGAGAGCAGTGAGAGGAACAGTAATCCCTCAAATAACTTCAAATTTCATTACAAAAGTGTGTTGAAACTGAATTATATTAGATTTATTTACTTGAAAAAATTATTACAACTTTTTTTTACTGTAAAAAATTAAATACTTTGTCAAGGTAGATATTCACATTCAACAAAATACAGCAGAATTTACACATTGTACACTACAGCTTCATTCTTCCCACTTACTTTATACAAACCTGAATGATTGCTGTAGAGGTGAGATGGTCAACCATTGAACTTTTTTTTAGATCTGCAAGCAAGGATATCTTATCTGCCACTTCTTAATACAAGCTTGCTGAAATATAGCAGGTCCTTGCCATTCACTGGGGGATACATTCTTGAAAATATCTGTGATATGCAAATCTGTAAAGCACAAACTTAGAGGTCATGGGGAAAAAGGTTTGGGTCCTCGGCTTTAAAATTTGTTTACCATTTTTGCCAAACTATATCCTTAATTAACATGTTTTTTTTTATAATTATTCCTGTTTTTGCACAATTAAATAATTTCAAGTAGATTGAGTTAATAATTTTATTGGGAATTCATCACATATACAATATATACTGTAAACAGTACAGAAATACATTTTGAGTAAAAACAACATGGTTGAACAAATACTTTGTCATTTCAGGGCTTCTTGGCATCAAGCAGTGAAGAGGAAAATGAGGATAGTCTAGACGAGGAGGAAGATGATGACAGCGATGATGAAGCCACCAAAGCTTCCCGAATAGCCAAGTTCAGAGCATTAATAAGTGAGATAGATGAGAAGGACAAAAGAAAGAAAGAGAAAGATATTGATATGGAAGAAACTTTCCAATTGAAAGAAGACACTGATGAGGAGGAAGAACCAGTGGTAAAAGAATCAAAAACAAAGGAACAACTCAATCCTTTTGAAAAATACCTGGAGAAGAGAAAAACTAAGAGAAAAGAAAGAAAAAAGAAGAAAAAGGAAGAAAATGAGAATGTCAATTCTAGTAGTGAAGAAGAAAGTGAATCAAAAGGTGTTATATCAGATGATGAACTTCCAGAAGGTGTTGGTGATTTGTACAATGACCCTTTCTTTGCTGACGAGCTGAAGAAAATGGATGCAAGTAGTAGTAGTAGTTCCAAGAAAAAGAAAACTAAGAAAGATTCAGATGAAACTCAAGGGAAGGAAGGCAACGAGCAGGTGAATGTGATATTTTTTTCTAGAATTATTCTGTTTAGCTTGTATTGAAATATTCCAGTGAGGTTTGAAGTGTGGAAAGTGGCCATGAAACGTTGAGGATGATGATGATGACACTGATGATGATGATGCTGTGTGTGAATGTCGAAACATATTTGGAGAAGGCAGTTTCATTGGTGGATGTTTTTAATGAGCATAGGGAAACAGGCATAAAGTATTCCTGTTGTGTGTATGCCATGTTTCACTTGTGGGCACATCGGGCATAAGTTAATCTTCCCATTACTCTATATATTTAGTTAGCAATGGAATAGGAGTACAATACAATTAAAGGATGAATACACAGTCAGAACAGGAGAGGAGAGTGTGAGTGAGGGGGGGGGAGGGGAGGGGGGGCACTAGTAAGCTGGAGTGTGTTAAGTATTATACCTCAGTTTGGTGCTAAGTTCAGGCGAGTCCTCTTACAGTTGAATGAAAAAAGACAATCATATGGAATACCTTGGCATATAGACCTAATACATGTATTGCCAATTTCCCAAAACTGAACTTGAATGGTTATATATTTGTAAGCTGATGTTTGATGTGTGTGTGTGTGTGTGTAGAATTCATGAACAATTAGTAATATGCTGTATTAAGCTCTTAAGACCCTTTCTAGTTTTGATGAAGTATTTTAGGTAAGTTATTCCACATTTCACTTCCACAGGGAGATCTAGAGCTTCTGCTTATGGATGAAGATGCCGAAAACAAGAAGCACTTCAGTATGAGAGAAATTATAGAGACAAATAAAGAGAAGAAGAAGAAGAGAAGACAAAACAAGGCACAGAAGAAACAGCAATTAAAGCCACAGGAACAACAAGCTGCTATAGATGATTTTAAGGTAAGAAGCATAAAGGTTTTCAGGTACCCAGTATAATTTTTTAATTTATTAACTTTTTCCCACGTAATTACTATCCAATTTTTTCCCTTGAAGCAAAGTTTATGTAAAGTGAAACCTCCATTTAATGTACTTCTCTTTCCATGTATTCATTGAGCTGGGGAGTTTCACATCCAATGAACCCTTGATATAATGGACTTTCCTCTCTATCTAGTTCATTAAATAGAGGTTTCACTGCAGGTACTCAATCATTTTCTTCTGTAAGCAAGATAGGGTGATATGTATTGTATTGTGGATGTCTTAGCTGAGGGACATTGAACCTTCTGGTGTGAATTGGGAAGATCTTTTATTTATAACAACTGTCTGGCTGTGTTGATGTTACCATAGATAAATCAATGTTGTGTGTTTATGTGGTTCAAGGATCATTAGTAAGACTCATGAACTGTACATTGGTGATCTGTTGTTTGATGTATATTATGTGTATTAAAACATGTGGGTATTTTCAGGTTAATATCGCTGATCCAAGATTTGTCCCACTGCTTACTTCAGGAGAGTATAACATTGACCCTTCACATCCACAATTCAAGCGCACCAAAGCTATGGATAACCTCATCAGTACCGTGCAGCAGAAGAGGATGGCACAGTCTTTTGAGAATGTTGTAAGTGTTGCATGATTTGGACCCAGTCTCCGGTTTTGTTATGATGGGTAACTAGTGCAGTAATTGGTTGATTGAATGGGATTGGTCAAAATTAACAGAATAGTTCACTTGGTAAGGATTATACTGCTGTTAAGACTTTCTCCTAATCATTAACTCATATCACTTCCTTCTCCTTTGTTAATGGATTTTTGAATATTTCAAATGCCATTTTTTCCTATTTTTCTGTTATTCACTTGTGAACCAGCATGACCATTAGGGAACAGGTGTCAATTACGCACACAAGACACTGCCTCAGTAGTCATGTTGAGAACAGTGAGTAGCTTTGGCCCCCAAAAGGATCAAATTTAGTTATTAATTATGTAAAACTGTAAATTCTACCCATTTTTTATTTCACAGTTACACTATGTATTTGATATAAATGTTATCTTTGAAGTTTATGTTGATGTTGATAAATCATAATAATTGTTTCCTTCTCAGCCTGAAGCCAAGAGGCAGAATACAAACTCAGAGAAGAACAAAGACCATGAATTATCACTGTTGGTTAAGAGAGTAAAGAGCAAGACAAATAAACCCAAGAAGAAGCCTTAGTGAGCACTTCATACAGTTATCAATAAATGACAAGGACATCAGGAAAAAAGTTACTGGATATTTTGTTTAATTTGTTGACTTAGCAGTAATAAGATGTTTTCTAAAAAATACATTAGTCATGAGTGTCACAGCTGCAGGTTTCATGTGAACTGTTCATAAAGACAAAGATTAGAATCTGAACATACAGCACTGATGCCATCATCCAGAATATTCAATTAAATTAGATTACAAGTTGTGATGCATGTTGTAAATTGTTTTACATTGTTAAATACAGTCTTTTCAGAACTATTGTACAATATGTATATAATTTCCCCCCATAATTGTATATAATCGTGAAAAGCTCATAGGATATATATGAAATGCTCAGGCCCTATGAAAGGTAATACAAGAATAAGTTGATAAACAAATACAGTGTATCATATTTTTACAATTATTTCCATCTGTTGCCAAAATAATTATGAGCATAGCAATCAATTGAGTCCAAATACCTAGTTTATAAACCCCGCCCACTGATGATGTCATTACCTGGACCACAAAACGCCATGAACGAAACCCTAAACAGTAAATCAATTTCCTTTATGATTTTTAGTAAAGTAGTAAGCAAATAAGCTCCAATAAGTTTGTTATTATTACTTAAGATTACTTTCTCGCCCTTGGTTCAGTAATAGTGTTCATATCTTCATTAGTAAACTGGGATTCAGACGGTAGATGGTTTAGTAGGGGTGAGTCAAGGCCTTATTCACACGTCTCGAAGCTACGCTGTGAACTTATAACAGTTTACATTGGACAGCTGACGGACATCAGCTCGTTTTTCTCTCTCTACTGCTTCTGGTGAACACTGCTGATGTTACTGGATACTGCTGGCTGACATTACTGGATACTGCTGGCTGATGTTACTGGATACTGCTGGCTGACAGGTAAAATTCCACTCATAATTAATTAGTTTCCAATTATTGTTTTTATGTTCCTGGTGTACTTTAGCTAACGTTGGTTCACCTTACTGTAGTGGTACGAGCCTCTGTCATATGTAGGGTGTCGGGTTTCAATCTAAATCATATGTCAATGTTGGCTTCAGTCTAAATTTTATGCCGGTGTTGGTTTCAGTGTAAATTTTTATTGAATAATGGAAAGAGATTAATATTCACACAGTATACTTGAGTTTTATTTGGTGTACAGGTACATATCATCAGGGTACATTTGGGTACGTTAGAGTAGGCGATCAACATGTGTACCATTCGTAGCATGCACTTAAAACAGTACTCAATTTCCTTGCACATATTTTTTAACATTTCTATCCTCTTACCATCCACTGCCACCCTCATTATCCATCCCAGCTGCCATCCTCACTACCATCCTTACTATCCATCCCAACTACCATCCTAGCAAGGTAGAAACTTTTGAGGAACTTGTTCAGTTGGTGATTTTAGAACAGTTCAAAAAAGCCACTCCGAGAGATATACAATTGTACTTAGGAGAGAGAGATATTAGTAATGTTCATAAAGCTGCTGCATTAGCTGATAGCTATGCCCTTACTCACAAAATGCATCATGTTAAATCTCAAAATCATTCAGGTGGAAAGGGTTTTGTAACCAAGGAAAAGGGTGGTAGGCAGGATAGTAGTACTGCTTCTTCTAGTAAAGTATATTTTCGTGGAAACTTGGGTGAGCTTTCCAAGACCTATGCCAAGACTAAAGCATTTGTCTGTTTTTACTGTAAGAAACCAGGTCATGTGATTGCGAATTGCTCTAAATTGGAAGCAAAGAAGCAAGAGCCAGTGCTCTCATTCGAACCTCTGGAGAAGTTTGACTAAACTTTAGTGAGAAATCGAAGGAGGATTCTTTTGAACCTTTCATGTTTGATTGTTCAGTTGCAGTTGAAGAATCAGGTGATCAGTACCCTGCGAAGATTTTGCGTGGCACTGGTGCTTCCCACAGTATTCAGTTGAGAGGATCTGTTCCCTGCGTGGAAGATTCCTATACTGGAGAGCATTTGGTGCTTAAGGGTGTCATTGGAGTGATCACTGTTCCTTTGTGTAGGGTGTTTTTGAGAACTCCACTTGTGACTGGTTGGGTGACTATTGGTGTTCAAGATTCTCTTCCTGTGACAGGGGTTACTTTTTTGCTGGGTAATGTTATTGCAGGAGCCAGCGTGGTGCCAGATCCTGTGGTATCTTCGACCCCTACAGTGGAGAATAATACTGGTTTAATTGAAGAAGAATACCCTGATTTATTTCCTTTATGTGCAGTTACAAGGAGCCAGACTCTTCGGAATAAGGTACAGACCATTCCTTCAGTTGACCCTAAGCTTTGTATTGCTGATAGTAGTACACCTGGCAATGATGAAAATGATTTAGGTATTGAGAATCTGTTTGACAGTCAGGATGATTCATTTGATAGTGACATTGGTGGGAGAGATGTGAGTGAAGCTAAAGATTCAGTTAACATTCATTCCCCAAAATCTGAAGCTGATCTCTCTTCTGGTGACAACATTACCATTCAGAAAATACCTGTCACTAGGGAAAAACTGATAGATGATCAGCAGAGTGACTCCGAATTACCTGAACTATGTAGGAAGGCTGTGGATATGGAAGAAGCGGCTCACTTGCCTGTTTGTTACTACATGGATTCAGGGTTACTTATGAGGAAGTTCAGATTTGTATCTGATCCTGCTGATGAGTGGAATGCTGTGCATCAGGTTTTGATTCCCAGATGTCACAGGGGAGAAATCTTGAAATTAGCACACAAATTTTTGGGAGGACATTTAGGAGTTAGGAAAACATACAAAAAGATTTTGTCGCATTTTTACTGGCCTGGAATGAAAGGTGATGTTGCCAGATACTGTAGAACTTGCCATGAATGTCAGTTGGCTGGTAAACCAAATCAGGTCATAAAATCTGCTCCCCCTAAAATCCATTCCTGTGGTAGATGAGCCATTTAGCAGGGTTATAATTGATTGTGTAGGTCCTCTCCCAAAAACTCGATGTGGCCACCAATATTTGTTAACAATCATTTGTACTACCACCAGGTACCCAGAGGCTATACCATTGAGAAACATCAAAGCAAAGAGTGTGGTAAAGGCTCTGACTAACTTTTTCACTAAATGTGGCAGTCCTAGAGTTGTACAGTCGGATCAGGGTACTAATTTCACTTCTTTCCTTTTCCAGCAGATGATGAATGAATTGGGTATTAAGCAATACTTAGCTTCTGCATACCACCCTCAAACCCAAGGTGCCCTAGAGAGATTCCACCAGACTTTTAGATCTATGCTTAGGAAATACTGTATGGAGTCTGATAAGGATTGAGATGAAGGAGTGCCACTTACAGTATGTTGTTTGCCATAAGAGAGAGTCCCCAACATTCCCGAGGATTCAGTCCCTTTGAAATGATTTTTGGTCATGCTGTAAGAGGTCTTATGACTGTGTTGAAGGAAAGTTGGATAAGTAATCAAATAAAAGTCCCTTTGTCAGTGTATGTAGAGAAGTTTAAAGAGAAACTGAAGAGAGTAGGTGAGATTGCTTGTGAAAATTTGTCAGAAGTACAGGAGAAAATGAAAAAGCAATATGATGAGCATTGTCAAGCTAGAGAATTTAAGCCTGGAGATAGGGTTTTAGCACTTATAACCCTGTATAGAAATCCCCTTCAAGCTAAATATGAGAGTCCATTCACTATAGTCAAGAAATTAAATGACCTCAACTATGTCATAGCGACTGTAGGTAAAAGAAAATTGGAGAGTTTGACTCATATCAACAGGTTGAAACCGTATTTTGGTTGGAGTGAAGTGGTTTGTTCAGTAGCAGGAGGAGAGGAGGTGGTCCCAGATACTGATTTCCAAGTGGATATCCCCATAAAAATCTGTAATTCCAGTATATTGTGTGACCCTACCTCTAAAGTATCCCATCTTTCACAACAACAGTCTCAGGATGTGGTGCAACTGCTGCAGTCGTTCAAGCCACTCTTCGACGATGTGCTGGGCCAGTGTTCTCTGCTGGAACATGACCTAGTACTGCTGCCTGGCACATCTCCCATCAAGCATGCACCCTACCGAATGAGCCCTGATAAGCGGGAGAAGCTGAAGCAGGAGGTGGAGTATCTGCTGGAACATGACCTAGTGGAGAGGAGCAGTAGTGCATGGGCGTCACCCTGTGTGCTGGTGCCTAAACCCGACGGAAGTGTCCGCATGTGTACTGACTACAAGAAGGTCAACCTGGTGACACGTACTGATGCATATCCATTGTCGCGCATCGACGACATCATTGATAGTGTGGGTCAAGCATCATTTGTCACCAAGCTGGATCTTCTCAAAGGCTACTACCAAATCAAACTCTCGGAAGAAGCAAAGCAGATTTCAGCTTTTGTCACTGCGGAGGGGCTTTGGCAATACAAAGTTATGCCCTTCGGCCTCAAAGGAGCACCAGCAACATTTCAGCGAGCGATGCATATACCCTGTTGTGACATCAGGCCTGCCTGGAGTGTACGCCTATCTAGATGATCTGGTCGTCATCAGTGACACATGGGTACAACACTTTGGCCGACTCCGTGAACTCTTCAATCGTCTAGCAGAGTTCAACTTCACCGTACACCTACCCAAGAGTGAATTCGGACATGCCACCTTAATCTTCCTTGGTCATGTCATTGGACAAGGGAAAATTGCTCCAATTGATGCCAAAGTTGCCGATATTCTCAATCTACCCACACCTCGCAATCGAAAGGCTCTCAGAAGATTTCTCGGGATGGCTGGATTCTACAGGCGGTTTTGTCAAAATTTTGCCAGGGTGGTCAATCCCCTGACAGATTTGGTCAGCCCAAAAAGAAAGTTTGTGTGGACTGATGAATGCCAGAGAGCATTCGAAAAGGTTCTTGGGCTGTTGGCGACGGCACCTGTACTGCAACTCCCAGACTTTAAGAAACAGTTTGCGATACAATCGGATGCGTGTGACACAGGAATTGTGCTGTGTTAATGCAAAAAGGAAAAGATGGAATATTGCACCCGAACTGTTATTTCTCGGCCAAACTGAAAAAGCATCAACGTGGATATGCCACAATAGAAAAAGAAGCATTGGCCCTTTTGTTAGCTCTGGAAAAGTTTGAGGTGTATGTAATTGGATCACCTTACCCAGTGATAGTTTATACAGATCATAATCCACTTCAGTTTGTTCATAATATGAGAAATAAGAATCAAAGACTGTTATGGTGGTCATTAGCTCTTCAACCCTATATTATAGAAATCAAACATAAAGGGCTGTGATAATATAATTGCCGACACTCTATCTCGTGTTGAGTAAAAAAGTTTAGTCAGAGCTTAAACTTTTAAATTAAAGGGGGAGATGTTACGAGTGAGAGTTCCATGGTTGGTTGTGGATTCGCAACGTGAATGTCTTTTGTTTGTGACGTCATTTCTGCCCGCTTCCATTCCCTTTGTTTACCGCCAGTATGGGGCCGGCAGTGATAAGTTAAGTACAGAGTATCTCCTTTCTTACTGTACAATATGTTTCTAGTGGTATAACGTGTAAACCTTGCTCGACTTTTATAACACCAAGTAAAGTATTATTTGTGAAAGATTATTGTTAATCATATTTTAGAGTTCCATGGAAAATAACTTACTTGTTTATGAGGTTTCGTGTGGTGGATAGACCACGTTGTTCTTGGTAGTTTCTAGACTAAATAAGTCTTTACTTTTATGTTCATTATTTTGTCACTCGGTTGAGTCATTTATTTGATCAGATTTAATTTGTATTTGTTTATTTTTGTACATACTGATATATTTGTTTTATTGTTTGTTTGATAATATATTCTGTAATTAAAACTACTGCATGTATTTCAATATACCCCATAGTAATGAGGTTATGATTTTGGTGGGATCTATTCCTTGGACCTGTAATACAAAGAGAAGTTGAATTTGTGATTTTCTTACACCCTAAGATATATATATATATATATATATATATATATATATATATATATATATATATATATATATATATATATATATATATATATATATATATATATATATATATATATATATATATATATTATATAATTTTTCAGAAAATTAGATCATAGAAAATGGGAAATTCTGACAGAAAACGGGACTTTTTTTAACAAAGTTTTTTATCATAGAAAATGGGAAATATCTACTTTTCAGGAAAGTAGATCACAGAATTTTTCGAAAATTAGATTGTCATAGAAAAGGGAAATTTTATTATAGAAAACGGGAATTTTTTATCATAGAAAATTGGAAATATCTACTTTCTGAGAAAGTTGGTTATCTACTTTCCCAAAAGGTAGATTTTCTACTTTAAGGGAAAGTAGATTATCGACTTTTTGGGGAAGCAGATTGTCGATTTTTTGGGAAATATGACCTAATTTTGCGAAGTAGATTATCATAGAAAACGGGAAATTTGTATCATAAAAAATGGGAAATATCTACTTTCCGGGAAAGTTGGTTATCTACTTTCCGGAAAAGTAGATTATCTACTTTTCGGGAAAGTAGATTATCGATTTTTCGGGAAAGTAGATTGTCGATTTTTGGGGAAATATTACCTAATTTTGCGAAGTAGATTATCATAGAAAACGGGAAATTTGTATCATAAAAAATGGGAAATATCTACTTTCCGGGAAAGTTGGTTATCTACTTTCCGGAAAAGTAGATTATCTACTTTTCGGGAAAGTAGATTATCGATTTTTCGGGAAAGTAGATTGTCGATTTTTGGGGAAATATTACCTAATTTTGCGAAGTAGATTATCATAGAAAACGGGAAATTTGTATCATAAAAAATGGGAAATATCTACTTTCCGGGAAAGTTGGTTATCTACTTTCCGGAAAAGTAGATTATCTACTTTTCGGGAAAGTAGATTATCGACTTTTTGGGGAAGCAGATTGTCGATTTTTTGGGAAAAATGACCTAATTTTGCGAAGTAGATTATCATAGAAAACGGGAAATTTGTATCATAAAAAATGGGAAATATCTACTTTCCGGGAAAGTTGGTTATCTACTTTCCGGAAAAGTAGATTATCTACTTTTCGGGAAAGTAGATTATCGACTTTTCGGGAAAGTAGATTGTCGAATTTTTGGGGAAATATTACCTAATTTTGCGAAGTAGATTATCATAGAAAACGGGAAATTTGTATCATAAAAAATGGGAAATATCTACTTTCCGGGAAAGTTGGTTATCTACTTTCCGGAAAAGTAGATTATCTACTTTTCGGGAAAGTAGATTATCGACTTTTTGGGGAAGCAGATTATCGATTTTTTGGGAAAAATGACCTAATTTTGTGAAGTAGATTATCATAGAAAACGGGAAATTTGTATCATAAAAAATGGGAAATATCTACTTTCTGGGAAAGTTGGTTATCTACTTTCCGGAAAAGTAGATTTTCTACTTTTCGGGAAAGTAGATTATCGATTTTTCGGGAAAGTAGATTGTCGATTTTTGGGGAAATATTACCTAATTTTGTGAAGTAGATTATCATAGAAAACGGGAAATTTGTATCATAAAAAATGGAAAATATCTACTTTCCGGGAAAGTTGGTTATCTACTTTCCGGAAAAGTAGATTATCTACTTTTCGGGAAAGTAGATTATCGACTTTTTGGGGAAGCAGATTGTCGATTTTTTGGGAAATATGACCTAATTTTGCGAAGTAGATTATCATAGAAAACGGGAAATTTGTATCATAAAAAATGGGAAATATCTACTTTCCGGGAAAGTTGGTTATCTACTTTCCGAAAAAGTAGATTATCTACTTTTCGGAAAAGTAGATTATCGATTTTTCGGGAAAGTAGATTGTCGATTTTTGGGGAAATATTACCTAATTTTGCGAAGTAGATTATCATAGAAAACGGGAAATTTGTATCATAAAAAATGGGAAATATCTACTTTCCGCGAAAGTTGGTTATTCATTTTCCGAAAGTAGATTATCTTACTTTTTCGAAAGTAGATTACTATTCTTTTGGGGAAGCAGATTGTCGATTTTTTGGGAAATGAACTTAATTTTTATGAAGTAGATTATCATAGAAACGGGAAATTTGTATCATAAAAAATGGAAATATCTACTTTCCGGAAAGTTGGTTATCTACTTTCTGGAAAAGTAGATTATCTACTTTTCGGGAAAGTAGATTATCGATTTTTCGGGAAAGTAGATTGTCGATTTTTGGGGAAATATTACCTAATTTTGCGAAGTAGATTATCATAGAAAACGGGAAATTTGTATCATAAAAAATGGGAAATATCTACTTTCCGGGAAAGTTGGTTATCTACTTTCCGGAAAAGTAGATTATCTACTTTTCGAGAAAGTAGATTATCGACTTTTTGGGGAAGCAGATTGTCGATTTTTTGGGAAATATGACCTAATTTTGCGAAGTAGATTATCATAGAAAACGGGAAATTTGTGTCATAAAAAATGGGAAATATCTACTTTCCGGGAAAGTTGGTTATCTACTTTCCGGAAAAGTAGATTATCTACTTTTCGGGAAAGTAGATTATCGACTTCTTGGGGAAGCAGATTATCGATTTTTTGGGAAAAATGACCTAATTTTGTGAAGTAGATTTTCATAGAAAACGGGAAATTTGTATCATAAAAAATGGGAAATATCTACTTTTTGGGAAAGTTGGTTATCTACTTTCCGGAAAAGTAGATTTTCTACTTTTCGGGAAAGTAGATTATCGATTTTTCGGGAAAGTAGATTGTCGATTTTTGGGGAAATATTACCTAATTTTGTTAAGTAGATTATCATAGAAAACGGGAAATTTGTATCATAAAAAATGGGAAATATCTACTTTCCGAAAGTTGGTTATCTATCGGAAGCAGATTTATCTACTTTTCGAAAGTAGATTATCGATTTTTCGGGAAAGAGATTGGTCGATTTTGGGAAATATTACCAATTTTATGGAAGTAGATTATCATAGAAACGGAAATTTGTATCATAAAAATGGGAAAATATCTACTTTCCGGGAAAGTTGGTTATTCATTTTCCGAAAAGTAGATTATCTACTTTTCGGGAAAGTAGATATCGACTTTGGGGGCAGGATTGTCGATTTTTGGGAAAATGACCCACTTTGCGGAAGTAGAACAGAAAACGGGAAATTTGTATCATAAAAATGGAAATATCTACTTTCCGGGAAAGTTATTATTCATTTTCTGAAAAGTAGATTATCTACTTTTTCGAAAGTAGATTATCGGATTTTTTCGGGAAGTAGATTGCCGATTTTTGGGGAAATATTACCTAATTTTGTTAAGTAGATTATCATAGAAAAACGGGAAAATTTGTATCATAAAAATGGGAAATATCTACTTTCCGGGAAAGTTATTATCTACTTCGAAAAGTATTATCTACTTTTTCGGGAAAGTAGATTATCGATTTTCGGAAAGTGATTGTCGATTTTTGGGGGAAATATTACCTAATTTTGCGAAGTAGATTATCAGAAACGGAAATTTGTATCATAAAAATGGGAAATATCTACTTTCCGGGAAATATTATCTACTTTCCGAAAAGTAGATTATCTACTTTTCGGGAAAGCAGATCGACTTTTTGGTGGTACAGATTAACGATTTTGGGAAAAATGACCTAATTTTGTGAAGTAGATTATCAGAAAACGGGAAAATTGCATCATAAACACGGGTAATATTTCCCCTGAAAATCGAGGTCCATTTTCCTGAAAAGTAGT